TCTTGAAAGTCTAATTTCCCTTTTTTCTTTTTTTTTTTTTTTGTTTTTACCTTTTTGCCTCTTGAAGATCAGATACGCCGGGTAATAACCTGAGGCTGCCAATCATTGCATACTTCTTCGCTGACAGGCCACCCTGCGAGACAGCCAGAATACTCTGTACTCGTAATAATAATACCTAATAAACAGGAATAAAACTAAAAAGAAAAAGAAAAAAACTCGGACAAGTCACGCTGGCCACTGGAACCAAGACACACCGCCCCTGGAATGCGTAAAATTACCCGGCACGGTGATTGATTCGCAGCTCGGGACTGAAGCCGACGGTTTCTGATTGATCTCCGCATATCCCCTCATATGTCTGTGAGTATTTGTTAAATGCCTCGTTGCGTCGTTTGTCCACTGAGTACTAGTACATTGGTCTTGAGGATTGATACATATACGGAGTACAACATCCAATCTTCCAATTGCCCCAGGTACGTTTCCAAGTTCATACGTGGAACTGCCACATCAACCCAAGAAAAATTTGGTTCCAGTAACGTGAGCTTGATTGGTGGTTCCGAGGCAGCCTTTCAAAGGAACGAGATTCTGAGCCACACACAAACACACACACACGGTAAAGTCCGGAACGTTTGCCCAGCCATGATTCGACACCCGCACCGGCTGACCCCTGGAGCATCACCGAGACTTCCAGAAGGCGTTCAAGAAAATTCTGTGAACAGGGATTGCAATGCAGATAAGAGATGAACTCCAATGAGATCCGAGGAGACAGTCGATCGCCCTTCACAGGTCCCTCGTCTGTCATGTATACACCGATCGTATCATTGTTGGCATCGATGTCGGAATCCGATGAACCGTTAGTTAGTATTAAGTATTCAGTACTGAGTAACCTGGCGACTAGCAATGGCCTTCTTCACATGACACGTCTTGGGCCTCGCTGCTAGCCAAACCAACCCGTCTCGGGCCGATGTGAGCGGGTGGAAGCCCACAATTTCCAATGGTCGACAGATGCCTCCGTTCTCGGTGGGGGGGAAACAGAGAAGCCGGCGGGTCCAGATTTGGAGAACCAGGAATCACGCTAAGGTACAGTAAGGCTGGAAGTCTTGATGCCTGAGGCTTCGGCCCCGGCTGTTCTCCGTGTCCTGGTCCTGTGACCCTGCACGTCCAAGGGTTCGACTCGGTTCTCGTCCGATGTTTTTCAATCGTCCTCCAGGTTGGGGTAAAGGGAAAACCTCATCGCGGTTGATCCCTTTTCCCTCTCCCAGCAATCCAAAATGATGCAGGGGAAATCTAAAAGCAACTCGTCACCGCTTTCCCATTTAATTAACCCAATCCTCCTCGCTTAGCAATACAGACCGTATGATCACGTTGCCAGACATCGAAGAACATACCAAATCTCACCGAAAACAACAAACTGGTCTAGTTCCCCCTCTCGGCATCTTACGGAAGAACAGAATCCTCCAAGAAACAACCATGGTGAGGAAAGCTACGGAATTGGCAAATCTCATGCGGGGAAAGGTGTTTAACTTGCCCGGGAAGGCAGTGGATCTACATAAGCAGATAAAGTGCATCGCCGTAGGTCTAAATTATTATTAAGTAAAAAGTACTGCTAAGACTCCAGTATTTCTGCCGAGTCGAGTATGTCTATCCGGTCGTCTAACCCCGTCGGTCGGATAATTGAGGGAAATTGTTACCTCGTCGAGCGAAACTGGGGTGATCTGTGACTGGGTTAGCTTGGAGCTACTCAGGTTATGTTGGGGTTTTATGTGCATAATCATGTTGCTGTCTTGATGTTGATGTACGCCCTACTCAGGTTGGACTTGGATATATATAGGATATTTCATGAACAAATGGATCGAATTTATTCAGTACGAAATAACATATAATCAGTACTAAGAATTAACAAACAGAATCTGGAAAGTGCCGAATAACAATGCCCTACAGAAGGGTACTACAAGTAGCTATAGCGGTTACGCGAAAATATATATCGGTGATATCTTACACGTGACATTAACCCACGTTACCTCGGACGAGTGTATTGCATCCAAAACGACATAAAGAACTCCCGAGGTCAAATAGCATAAATCGCATTCTATTGCAAATAAAAGCATTGTGTCGCAGTCAAACTATATTCGCGTTGCTATACCAACCTGGATAGAATGAGAAGCCTCACTTGGCGCGCCGCCTGTGCTTAACGCGCCGGGGAGCAACTGAAATAGGCCTGTCTTCTAATACCGGTTTCTACTAAAATGAATTGTAGCTTGCAGACTGACTGAATCATGGGAAATCCAGTTTCGATACTTTTTGAACTTTCACTCGCGTTCAGTATTCCGTCGTCGTTACAGACCCCGGAAGACTGTGCTTCCACAATCCATTTCGTGGCATTTACTGCTGTCGAAAACCAAGAAATGCCACTTCCGTCCGTCGCTCCTACGAGTCCATCAAGGACGCAGAGGAATTACGGAGTAGAAAGCTATAGAGTGGGGAGCTATCACCCCACAGCGGTCAGGGTCCGGTTTCGCGATCGCCCTCAGGTGGTTCACAAATCTCGGCCACTGCACACACTCGATGACATGGCTGACTCAAAAACTCGAGCAATATGTCGCCATCAAAGTGTGCTCTCCAACCTTCAACGGAGCCCGGACGCAAGCTTAGGGCGAACCATGATACTCATGGTATTAGAAAGGTTCGATATCTAGAATCCGAAGGACACAAACATGCCTGCTATGTGACAATCCGGCAAGAATGAGCCTACCTGAGGCCAGGTTTCAGGACGTGGTTCTGCGCCATCAGGGCCAATTCCGCGTTGAGATTCATCTCCAGGCAAATAATGCTGTTCTGTGCAATATTCTACTAATATTCCTACCTCACGACTGCACAAGATGCATCTCATCGATGATACAGGGCCACCCAAGCTTCCGGTTCTCCAAGCTCAAAGCAGCCCATGGTGCCATGCGCTGCGGCCGCTATCCTGATGAGTAGCCAGTGCGGTTAAAGTCTGATAGCACACATGAGACGCACATTTTAGTGGGAAAAGGCTGGGTTCTCCAGAAACCTGCGAAACGACAAACCTCGAAACAAGATTATGTTTAATAGAATACTGGAAATAGTTCTAACAGACAAGGTGTCATCTACTTTTCCTATCAATCAACTCCCTGGGCGTATATTCATCATAAACAGCCCGAAGACCACACACTGCTCCAAGTCGAGCCCCAACCCCCACCACGACATGCGTAAGCAGCCATCGCGTATAGAACGGCCCATCCAGAACGACAGGCCAGTTGTCCAATCTATGAAAAATAGTCCACAACTGAAGCATAAACATCACGCTTCCAAGCCAGCCCTTCCCAGTATGCCCTAGTATAACACTATTCAAGTTTCGAAAGAAGACTTCTTTCAATCCATCCGCGGGATCGGTCCACTCCCGAACGATCAGTTCGTCGTTGATATCGGGGTCGTCGTCAAGAACGCGACTCCACTCGTGGACGGCAAACTTGGGAATTGTAATAATCCCATCGGATGGACGGTACGTGGAGGTACGGTTCTGGATGGTGACTCTGGCTGCTCCTTGTATGACGCGCAAGTATTCGGTGTGATTTTCGTGCCAGTGCGAGCCTGATGTCCACGTACTCTTTGGGGGCAGGATAATGGTGACGGTTGGAGATGGGGGTTCTGGGAGAATGTATGTGACTTCACCTGGCCGGGTGAATGTGTTGGTGTGCTTTGTTTCTGTGCGAGGCATTTTTATGATCTGAAGCTGGGAATTGTTGTAGGATGGCTGTTATCAGTAATCCTTAGTGCTTATGAAGGCGCATTGCGGCCCTATTCCGCGTGGATGATTAATGGGCATATGGTTTGCTGACGTACGAAAGTCTTTGATACTTTTGGCAATAAACAAATGGAATTCTATGATTATCATAGAGCTAGATCTATTTAAATACCTGAAGAAATATTCTTTAGAACGCTTCCATAGCACATTGTAGCGTAACAGCAAGTATTCAACCTAGTGTATTGGACCTTTCCAAATAGACACACTACTAGTTCTCAAAGGTCTTCCTTTCTGTGAGAACAACTGGTAGGATAAGCAGACATGTGTATAATAATAATATACAACGGTGAGATAGGGACTTAAGTCAGGCATACAGCGATGCTATCCGTTTTCAACAAGAATCGGCAGCTTGCATGGAGCAAGTGCATACATTAGGGTTTCACGGGACAGAATAGGCACAGGCACAGGGCCATACATAGCACCGATATAAAGTCAACGGGATACTTCCTCCTAGAGACTGTCGGTATCTCCTGATTTAAGTATTTGGTTCAGGAGGGAACTCATAGTAGGCTGAGTGTAGACATCCCTATGTTATTTTAGAGATCTGAAAGGAGTTATTAGAAAATATAGATTCCCCATACTTGTCTAAGATTGGAATAGTATATCCTTATTATAGTCACATTGTAGGATTGAACTTTTATTCCAGTTTTCACCCCAAGTTAGAATTTAATTGGGATGATACACCGAAGGCTCTATCTCTTGTAGCACTATCACACACCGATCAGGTAGTTCAGAATAGCCTTACCTTGCTCAGTGTGACAGCGCCACTTGAGTGACAGATCCTTGTCTTTGGGACTAAAAGTGTCACTGCATAGCATTTGTGATAGTGATGCAGGGTGAGCGACCCGACGATGATCATTGGAAACTCTATCTGATGTCCCACTTCGCTCGAAGAAACTCCAGTATAAAGCTTAATACAATGATTTTACTGGATCGTCTACATGATTACCCTAAAGGATGTTGAAAAGTCTATGTCTGTGGGGAAGGGGAGAAAGAAAGTCGAAGAAAAGCAAAGGCAAAGGGCAAAAAACGCGTAACATAAAGCACTCGGGGCAAACGACCCATGGCTCTGACAGCGTGGGGTCTCTTTGATATCTCCAATGGACCAACGGGCGAGATCTAAATTTAACTTACCAACAATAAGGTGAAACTTCTGCAGGATTGCCCCCTGCGGTTCCTTTTATGTTGGCTGGGTGATGGGAGGCCAACTCACCTGATTCCGTGCTTGTTTTACGGAGGACACTGAAAATCAATTGATCGGCAGAAGACCCTGGTCCAGGAAGGGTTTGCATGATTCGCCTCCTCCCGCCAAAGGCTTTCAGTCTAAAGTGTGATAGAGATGTGCCAATGTGCTTGAGCGTGCATCTCGTTGGCGCTTAACGGACGAGGGTGGCGATCATTGGCCAGCAGACCAACCCTACTCGGCCGCTCTTCTTCGCGATCGATTGATGCAGTCAGTGAACCAAAGACTATATAGCCGCCCAACTCTCCCCTGGTCGTCGAACCCTTTCTATTTTTCGGTCCACTGCTTGTTTGAGGTTTTGTTTAGTCTCCCTTTCAGTTCTATTTTCGTCTTCTAGTGGTTCGTTTGGCTGGTCCAGACGAGTGCTATTTTTTGAGTCTTCCTATTTTTGGATCTGCCTTACGTCACTAATAGTATCAGTTACACGCCCTGCGTCTAAGAAACCTTCGTTGACCGAAGTGAATCATTAGCGCTCTTAATATCTTTCCCCAATACTTTAAATCTCCTTCGTTCCCCCCCAAAGCTGTGTCCAACCTCCACCTCCACCATGATCCCCACTGCTCGTGCTGCCGCAAGACCCAAGTTGAGCTTGAGCATTTCTGCTGCGCAGAATACCTCTCGGCCTACATTGTCGCTCAAGTCCCCGGGCCCTCTCCCCCGGACTCCGATCTCCCCATCTGCTGCCAGTCCAAGTTCGGCCCGGTTCTCATCCCTTCAAGTCCCGAGTTATGGCTACGTCAACTCGTGTTCCTCAAAGAGTATTCTCAAGAAGCAATCGACAGCGGTCGCAGCGGGCAACGTCAACAAACGCATCCAATTTAAAGGTACACCGACTGTCCACTGCGTGACGCCCATTGAGAATCCGGAGGAATACTACGGCACGCACACCAAGATGTCGCGCGAAGAACGACGTTGGCTGGTGCGCGAATGAGCGATCGCCGGTAGAACTCGCTGAACAACAACTACACAGACGAAACGAAAGGACTACTCTGAGTTCGGGGCCTCGTCGTCCGTTGGGTCCATTCCCCGCGACCGGCAGCAGAGCCTGTGGAGGACCGTCGGCGCAGAGCGTCGGACGTCCAGAACGAACGCCAAGGAGAGGAACGTCCCTATCGGAAAGGAGGGCAAGCTGTCAATGTATATATGATCCTATTATGTTTATGATGTGACGATAAGATCCATACCCAGCATAGCATGAGTGAGCATTAGCCTGGAGAAATCCAATTACAGTCGTTACGCTCCATCAGTTGCGCTCAAACCCGTATCGTGGTAGAATATGTAGTCGTCCATGTACCGCTCTAATACATGTTTCTACTTGTTCCACATCCGTAGATAATCGTATTAGCCAAGGAGAAAAAACAAACAGACACATTGTAAACTGCTGATGCTCTGCGTCATTACCATTTCGGTCATGGCTTAGGGCAGTCTTTAAGGGCTTCTGTGGCCCGTGCGACCGAACGTCAGGCCTTTTCCGCAGTGGTTATCGCCGCGTCCAGCCAGAGCACCATTTCTACAACTAACCCCAATGTTGAGCTTGAGAACCCCCGTCGCGAGTTTTCGCAAGGCTATATGCAGCACAGTTAGGCGTAGTCTGTTCCCTCGATATCGGGGCCTGCTCACTTTTGCTATTGAAACGTCTTGGTGAGAGCGATTCCGGATCTGAAGCAAGCCTGACTGCTAACTTGTCTATCTGCACTAGCGATGACACTTCAGTCGCAATCGTTGAAAAGAATGAAGCCACCAATGCCGCTAAGATTCATTTCCTTGAGAACGTGACGGCTGATTCAAATGAATACCGAGGCGTCCACCCCATTGCATCTCTCGAGTCGCATCAAGAGAACCTCGCGAAACTGGTTGATAAGGCGCTGAGGCATTTGCCCGTCGCCTCGGACAATGTTGGAGGACACCGATCGATAACGCTCGCGGATGGCTCCCAGCCGCGCTGCAAACCGGACTTTGTATCCGCTACTCGAGGGCCGGGGATGCGAGCGAATCTCTTCGTCGGCTTAGATACAGGGAAAGCGCTGTCAGTTGCGTGGCAGATCCCTTTCGTGGGAGTTCATCATATGCAAGCTCACTTGCTGACACCCCGGCTTGTGTCATCTCTAAGCCAGGACCAAGGCACCAGTGGTAACGTCTCACCGTCTCCGCCAGTTACGCCAGAATTTCCATTCCTATCTATCCTCGTCTCGGGTGGCCATTCGATTCTTGTGAAATCATCAACTCTTACGGACCACAAGATCATGGCTTCTACCGCAGACATAGCAATTGGCGAGTCGCTTGACAAATCGGCCAGGGAAATCCTTCCTACTTCCTTACTGCAGAGTGCGAAGAATACCATGTACGGCAAGATGCTAGAGGAGTTTGCTTTCCCAAATGGTAGCGCTGACTACGCTGACTACCGTCCGCCGCTGACCCGTGGCGAGGAACTCATCAAGCGGGAGACCCCCTGGGGCTGGTCCCTGACGACCCCGTTTGCTAATACTCGCAACCTGCAATTCAGCTTTTCATCCATTGCTAGCGCAGTCAAAAAAATCATCACACAAAAGGAGAACTCTGGACAGAGCTTTTCCCATGACGAGCGAGTTGAAATGGCGCGTGAATCCATGCGGGTCTGTTTCGAGCATCTCGCCTCCCGGACGATCATCGCTCTTGAGACACTTCGTCAACAGAAGCCTGATGACGAGGTGAAGACTCTCGTGGTCAGCGGTGGTGTTGCGGCCAATCGTTTCCTCATGGCTGTTTTACGCTCATTCCTCGATGTCCGCGGCTTCGGTCATATCGACATTGTCGCACCCCCTCCGTACCTGTGCACTGATAATGCGGCAATGATCGGATGGGCTGGCCTCGAAATGTTTGAGGCGGGCTGGCGCACAGATCTCAGTTGTCGCGCTCTCAGGAAGTGGAGTCTGGATCCGCAGGCCGATGATGGCGGCGTTCTGGGCCCCAGCGGATGGCAGAAAGCCTAGACCTATCTTTCTTTGATGGGGTCATTGCCTGCACTGTACACTAGTAATACCCATGTACACCACTCAGCTTTTTACTTCTACCAGATGTATATATACTCTCAATTTATAGTCATACACACAGGCAGGATGTGATAGTCATATTCTTTCTTGGATTAGAGATTTGTTTTATACCAGATCTATCTGCCAATCGTACAGAAGGTCTTATCCTACACCCAGACATAGTGCGAACGACCTTTTGTCAATAAGCTGCATTGATTCATGATGTCCATCTAGTGATTTCGAGGATACTGTCATCCAATCGACCAGCGACCAGAGAGCTCCTGTTTTCCACGGAATGTGAAGGTCCCTTCGCGAACCAAACTGCCGCTGAATTTTGGCTAGATAGTCGTGACGCTGGTGATTTCTCGCATCGAACTATCTATTGATAAAGATGAGGTTTCAAGTCAACCACCTGCGATATTGTTACCTTGCCGCAAAGTGGTGATTTGTTTCCGAAGCTCGAGGAAAAAGTCCTTGCCGTTGGCCATGGTGTTTGCTGTAGCATGAACGTCAACATGACGAAAGAGAGGGGACAAATCAATCGGGCGACATACGTTTCGAGCCCCAAGGCCCAGAGCGATTTGTGTCCTTTCCACCGGGTTTATAGAAGAAGGGCTTCGGCTCTACGAGAATGGTTAGCGACCTGATGGGTGTTTGCACGTCGCAAGCTTCTTCTGGAATAATGTACCTCTTGAATCTAATGCACATCTTCCGTTAGCAAATGATGCATCGCAGAGGGTCCATGGGGGAGCCTACTTCTTCTGAGAGCCCCCTTCGCCTCGGCAGCATTGAAGCCTCGCACGGGAACATGTTGCTCCTGAGCTGGCCCAGTGGAAAGCTGATCACGCGACTCTCCCCAGGCATTCTGGTTCTGTCCACCACGAGAGCCACTGTGTGCGCTCATCGTTCTGTGCAAGGAGTGCCTTTGTCCCGATTGGCGGTTTTGGTCATATGTGCGGCCCCCGCGCCATCTAGCAGGAGATCTCGGACGTTAGCATTTAAGGGCGGCTGGAGATAGATGAGTAATGGGGGGGAAAGATATTTATAGAGAAAAGTTCAGGGTCGGGGCAAATTGAGGGGAAGACGATTACCGATCATCGCCAGGACCACTCATATTGGGAGGGAGAGAGGCTCAATCAAATCGGATTAGATTGATTGATTGAATTAAGCTGTGGGCTTTCAATGGAAGAAGCTCCGCGTTGATTAAATCGGACCGAAATGTCAGGTGGAGTCTCTCCGCCTTGGCTCAAGAGGGTTTAGCGCCGCCGGGCAAGTGAGATAACGGACACTCCTCGCTTTCGCGTCCTTCCCTTCGTCGCCGATGGCTGAGACTCCTCTGCCCTTCATTTCCTTGCTGTTTAATGCATTTTTTGGTTGTTATTGAGTCATGATTGACATTTCTCCTTTACTTGACCCGGTTTCCTTTTGCTACGCGGCGCCGCGAGACTCTGTTTGATTGCAACGTGAGGCTGAAGCGACAAGCTGAACGACATTAATCAACATCCACTCTTTTGTACATCATCCCATACATAGCGGGCTGAGCATTCTTTCCCGACAGCAAAAATGGCGCCATTAGCGTCGAATAAATATCGGTCATCCCCCGGAAGGCCCCCTAAAACCCAACCCAAAGCGGTGCTGAAAGGCACCCAGAACTCAAACGCTACTCCCGGCGACGGACCACCCCTCAAGAAGCGGAAATACGTCCCTGGTGGACCGGGTGGTGGAGGCAGATACATCGAGCTTGATGTGCGAGAGACGAAGCCGCCTAAGCCGGCGAAGCCTGCGAGACCACCCAAACCGGCCAAACCGGCGCCAGCTGCACGCAACTCCACCCCCCGAACCCGCCATGCACGAGAAGCCGAAGTGCAACACTTGCAGCTCCCCCCTCCTCCACCCCCCGTCCCAACGACACCGCCATCTGCGCGCCTCACAAGAGACAAAAGCCAAAGTCGGGGCGGCCGTTTCGGCTCCTCGACCGCTGCTGCTCTCGCTTTACAACAAGGAGATGGATATAAACCACGGGAAGAGCGAGGGTGGGAAGAATTTCACCCGGACCTGGATATTGAAACAAAGTTTGTCGTCTTCCCTGCGGAGGAGGTGGATAAGCCAGCTCCGTCCGCGCATGTAGCCCATATCCTGTCTCCGAATGGCCTCAACCTCAGCAATGATAAAGACCCGTTGGCTGAACTTATCCGAGCTCATGCCAATGGCACGTCACCTACACCGATCAAACGCCGCCCAGGCCGCCCTCCCCGCCGTCCTGAGGCCATTCTAAACGCCCTCGGCATTACACCACAACCAAAAGTTGTTCCACCTCCTGGTCCAAACCCTCGCGAGCGGCTAACTCTTCCTAAACCCTCGTTCCGACTACGAGATGCATTTGTTTTCTATGATAAACCAGGAGTAGGCCAACAAAACTATGTTGACCGGACGATGGCAAGCGTGGGATACCAGGAGACTGACCTTTTCCTTCGCCACGATCGTCGATTGATTCGGGTAACTGAGGCACCACAGGAGGACGATCTCGATGCTGTCAACCCTGTTGGAACTGAGGAGGAGCCCAACACGTCCGTTGGAAGAGTAGAATACGACATGGATGAGCAAGACGAGAAGTGGCTAGAGGACTATAATGCCAAGCGGAGAGAGGATCAGCTGGAGCCCATCAAACCCGCTGTCTTCGAAATCACCATGACCAAGATTGAGAAAGAGTGGCATGCGCTTGAGAAGCGCATCCCAAAACCAAACCCCAAACCTCCCCAGACGCAACGGCCTCGTTCGAGCTCTGCCGCTGCTGTGAACGGCGAAACCACGGGGCCAGGAGAGGATCAAGACAGCAAATGTGCGATTTGCGATGATGGCGACTGTGAGAACTCCAATGCTATTGTCTTCTGCGATGGGTGCGATCTTGCAGTGCACCAGGAGTGCTACGGCGTACCATTCATCCCCGAGGGCCAATGGCTGTGTCGTAAATGCCAACTGGTTGGGAGAGGAGCTGTCAACTGCATCTTCTGTCCCAACACCGAGGGTGCCTTCAAACAGACTACCACCTCGAAGTGGTCTCATCTGCTTTGCGCTATATGGATCCCTGAAGTGTCTATTGGCAATCCCTCGCTGATGGAGCCGATCACCGATATCGAAAAAGTACCCAGGAGCCGTTGGAAACTTCATTGCTATATTTGCCGACAGCGAATGGGTGCATCGATTCAGTGCAGCAACAAGAACTGTTTTGTCGCATTCCATGTGACTTGTGCCCGACGGGCTCAGCTCTATCTGAAGATGAAGTCCGGTCACGGATCTCCCGCAGTCATGGATACTCACCTGCTCAAGGCATTCTGTGACAAACATGTTCCCCCTGAGTGGCGCAGGGAACATGGAACGGACGCGGCTACCGCTGAAGCCATGGAATTCTATCGTACTACTATGCAAGGCCGACGGTGGGGTGACAGTCAAGCTGCCGCGTTAGCATTAGAGCCATCACACCCCCTCGGGTGTGAACATCATGACGACGAGGCACTGCGGACTCATACGCCACGCATTACGCTTACAGTTGGTGGGAATAAAAGAAAAAGGCCTACTGCACCGAAAACTATCTGGAAACTGCCGTCTGGCGCTCCTGTAGTACCGCACGTTGTCCTAAATGCCGTTGCAGCCTCCCTTCAGCGTTTCGGTGTGCGTCAGAGAAAGCAGTATGCTGAGGATGCGTGCAAGTACTGGACACTCAAGCGCGAGGCGAGAAGGGGAGCCGCATTACTGAAGCGTTTGCAACTACAGCTGGAGACCTTCTCATCTATGGAAATGACCAGGAGGGACTACGTCGCCATGGGAGCTGCCGGAGGCAAGCGGCTCCAACGCCGCATTGAGTTTGGTGAACGCCTATATGACGATCTCGATCGGTTGAGAACGATGTGCGATGAAGTCAAGAAACGTGAGAGGGAAAAGTTGAAGGATGCCGAAACTCTTCGGAGTATTGTCGACACCGTCTACTTCCCTATCTTCCCCTTACTCTGGCCTATTTTTGACAAAGCTCAAGGGTATGTATCCTTTTCCTCGCTACTTTTTGGTATTTACTGATGTCGATACAGACTTGACGGCAAGGGTATCTTCAGACAGGGGTTGACTTCGATACGCACCAAGCTGGAAGAGCGCCGGTACACCTCCGTTTCTGCCTTCTCCGCTGATCTTGCTCGCGTGTTCACCTCGGAGATTGGGGTCCAGCCCGCTGGAGACACCGCCGAACTTCAAATGCAGATCAGCGGGCGCGCTCCGGAGCTCAGCCTAGAACAGCGCGAGAAACGGAAACTGGCCAAGCGCATTATCAAATTCATTCAGCCTGCCCTAGAGGAAGCGATCAAGAAAGAAAGCGAGCTGAACCGTAAGCCCTTCGAACAAGAGCTTAAGGAATTGGATCTTATGCTCGAGAACAGCGTTATGTCGCGAAGGGGTTCCCAAGCCGAGTCCCCAGCGGCTGGTGACGAAGGGCCGGGCAAACCAGAGGTCAATGGAGACGTGGAGGTGACTGCTAAATCGGAGCCCTCTGATGGTACCGAGGTTACCGCCTTGCCCCAACAGTCCGTTGATAGCGCTATGCCAGATGCAGACCAAGCCCAAAATCCCGATGGTGCTTCAGGCTCTCAGACTCAGAAAGTCCCCGGGGTTGGAGTATCCCCTCCGACGGTCGAAGATGGATCTAGCAAGCAAGAGAACCCGTCTGCTAATGCACCTTCCACCACTCTTGAAGCACCACCCGCCGCAAATGGAATGGTAGACAAACCAGAAGAGAATAATCTAGGGCCCACCGATCAGCCTACTGAACCACAGACAGAGCCGTTGACACCCCCTCCCAGCTTCAAGGGAGACCAACAGCTTCCCTTAGCGCAAGGTGGCATCCAGTGGTATATGCAACCGTTCGATCCTGTGGGCACTACTATCCATGAAGAGCGATGGACGGGCCGGGATGTCATGCGCGGGATGAGTGAAGAACTGAGTGAGCTTGACGAGGAGGAGCTGAAAGACTTGGTCGACGATGAACTCGAGGGGGCGATGGGCACTGCCATCGAGGGGTCCACCACCGACACTGGACCAGATGCTGCACCGGAGCAGGCCGTCAAGGTGTATCGAACTCGGCGACGCTGGCGTGGATTTAAATAGATGATTGAAGCGACCTCCCGGTTGAGTGTTTTTTATTTCTTCTTTTCTTCAACCTCTTTTTCTCCTTTCTCTCTTTAATATCTTGATCTTCTCTCGTGTTTGTGTTCGGGCTTATGGCGCGGATCGGATTACGGCGTCCCCCTTTTTACTTCTCTTTCATCTTGTTGATTTCATGTGTTCACTGTGCTTTTGCGTCTACTATGATGAATGAATCTTGAGATGTTCGTTTTCTTGCACTGGTAGCATTGAGGATGGGGGTCGTCGAGATTTGTAGTTAGGTTGATCTACGACTGAATGGACTACTGCAGCTGAGGATCTTAAGCATGCATCCCGTGGAGAGTATGTATAGTTATGCATTGTAATTATTATTTCATTTATCATTAGATCCAGGCAGATGCATTGCGGCGTGTCTACAGTATGTACGGTCTGTATCAATGATCATAACAAACAGCCGGGTCTTGGCGCTCCACCCACAAGAGCCGCTTGCCGTAAAAGGTCTGGAATTCGGTGACTTGGACCTTCGACGGGAAGTCAACGAACTCGGTGCTTTGCTTGCTTTTCTTCCTCTTCCCCCTTCTTTCATCATTCATCCATCCCTCCCCCCAACAACCATTCATCTTCCTTCTTCTTTTTCCTCCTTCCCTTCCCTTCTTATTCTTTTCCCCTGTTCTTCTTGAGGACTTGATTAATTCTTCCTCACCGGTATTGGTGATTATTCTTCTTCCTAATCAGACCAGTGTGGGTGCTTGAATTTTCTGCATCATTTTCCCATCAACCAATTCTCGACGTGCGACGCGCCCCTTTCCCTGTGATATAACCGCTCTTTTTGCCAACCAAATTCTAGTTGTTCAATAAATTTCCGTCAATATGTCCACAGAGTATGATCACGAAAACGGTCGCTATGACGGTAGGTTCCATGGTTACATCAGCATCTTCGGCATCGCCCTGGGAACACCACAGCAATACTGATCCGTCTACTTCCTCACGCGTTAGACGAGCCTCGCTTCTCTCGCGACGAACGCAGCGCATCTCCTCGCGATGAGCCTCGTGCCGACCGCGCCCGGAGCCGCTCTCCCAATGGTCGCGCCGATGACCGGTAGGTCGCATAACCGGAAATTTCGCCACGTGCCGGGCGTTGGTTGAATTTGAGGGAATACAAAGGAACTAACTCGCCATTCTTTTTTTTTTTTTTTCAGGGCTCCTATCGAGCCGCGTAAGCCTCTTGACGATGAAGAAGGTGCGGTCAACACTGGCTCCAACCTTTTCGTCACGGGCATCCACCCGCGTCTGACCGAGTCCGACATTTCGCGTCTTTTCGAGAAATATGGTGATGTCGAGAGCTGCTCGATCATGGTCGACCCCCACACCAAGGAATCTCGTGGCTTCGGATTCGTCAAGATGGTGACTGCGGAACAAGCCGACGCTGCCAAGGAAGGTTTGCAGGGTGAGGTCATCGAAGGCCGTACTCTCAGCATTGAGAAGGCTCGCCGTAGCCGCCCTCGCACTCCGACCCCCGGCAAATACTTTGGACCCCCCAAGCGCGGTCAGTAACTCTTGAGCCCGGATCAATAACCCCATCGACTCACAGCATTCGCAGACTTCCGGGGCGGTGGCCGTGGTGGACGCGGTGACCGCTACGACGACCGACGTGCCCCTTACGGAGGCAGCTGGCGTCGGAACGACGACTACCGTTATGGCCGCTACGACTCTTACAGTGACCGCCGCGACTATGGCGGCCGTGGTGACTACCGGGATTACCGCCGTGACTACCGGGACGACTACGGTAGCTACCGTGGAATTGATCGTTATGCTTCGGGAGGACGGGAAGACCGGTACAGTCGCGATGAACGCCGCGATGACCGCCGCGAAGAGCGCCGTGGCTATTATGATCGCGATGCTAACCCTCCTAGTTACAGTCATGGTGGTGCTCCTCCTCCTCCCCGTGAGGGCTATTCCGGCGGCGGCAGCAGCGGCGGCGGTGGTGGCGGTCGCTCGTATGATCCTCGTGAAGACCGCTATGGTAGCAGGTAGGTGCAGGGTTGGGAGTTATCGACGATTAAAACTCAGGGTCATGGCACGTAATTCTTTTCCCCCTTCTCTAGTCTCTGTCTAGGCTTCCCCTTATTCGTTTCTTTTGTTACCCCTTGTTCTTGTTTTCTGCGACATTCCAACGCCCATGCACATTCCTTGGAATGGTTCCTTAATTCAATACCCGCTGCCTATGGGGAATGAGCTCGACGGTCCACGGTGGAATGTCGGTTTATGTTGTTCTTGATTTTCATCGGAAAAAAAGTCGTCTGCGCAATTCCTACTTGTCATCCCGGCGACATTCAGTACGCCATCAGTCATGCGACCATTTTAACCCTGTCGGAAAACCAAAAGAGAGAGGGAAAAAAAACAGACAGAAAGCAAAAAGGGAAGAACAAGATACTCTTGTGTCGTCGGTCTGCAGTCGCTAGCTGGATTTTTCTTTTGTTAATTCGCTCGAAACACCGGACAAAATTGGCGGCAGGGAAGGAAAAGACATGATATTTACCTTAACGTTGTAATTCCTCGGATTGTCAGATGGGTCTCAGCACTTCTACATTGCAACTCTTCCGGAAATTGGTCGTTATCTCGCTAGTCAGCTTGTTCGCCTTGTTGCGTCTTATTCAACCTTTTCTACGTAACGACTGTTCGATCTGTATACGGCCAAAAGCAAAGACATAATATCTATCATGCCATGCACAATTTCTCTTCACGCCTCCTGAGGACACAAGCAGTTGAACAGAGTTCGGCCATGGTCCGCCAGTTCCACCATCGTGTTTGCTTGCGTGCTTGTAGTATCGCCAGTACGAGCGAAGTATACGCGTCTAGAACGAGCGGGAGAGAGCCATGTCGACGTAATTGCAGCAGCCATCTTATCAACAGCCCGGAGTTCCACCAACTTCGACCGTTGATGGCCTGTTGGCCCGCCGAGGTAGGTAAGATGGTATTGCGATCCGAGCTAACACGTGGAAAAGGAATCCCATCTTCTCATTCAGGGTTGACCCTGTCCCCATGGTCCAATATGGTTTCTTCGCTTTGTGCTTTTTCTCGGAGTCAGACGAACTTCATTGCATGGTGCTGTCAGTCAGCCGTGATCGTTCTTGGTTGCTTTGCCAAGTCACTAACAGACAGAACCATGCTTTTGATGGAGAAGCTCGTGGGTTCGTGTCGTTCTCGGCTCTAGAATACCGGGTCAAACGTGTACACTATTGGTTTGTAGGCATAGAGACGTTCTCTGCTGGTCGATTCTCTGTTCACTCAGTTTTCCCTGGTTAGTCTGACAAACTAGAGATATCGATCAAGGGAGGCACACCACCGTTTCTGTTGTTAGGTAGCGTCACCCGTGGAGCACCTCTAGATCTGCCGATGGGAACCCTCGAACCGGAGCTGGTTTCTATGGGTGAACCGTTAGTTTAAATTAGGATTTACAATAGATAGTTGCAAATCAGTCGAACTCTTTCATCCTCTTACTTGACCACTCTTAGTTTAAGTGGCCCATAAGGTAAGGACGAGGAGTGCCTTTGATTAACCGTATAATCATCCTTCACAGGCTCCCTGGCAGTATGTCTACTGAAGGAATAGTGTTTTCGTCACTCTGGGAGTGTAATTTAAATGAATACCTTATGACAAATCCATGTAAATTGAATAAAACCGAGAATAGCAGAAAGGGTCTATGATTCACAGTGCAAGTGGTTTTTCGAGTGCATAAGATATATCTCCGCGATCCGTTCCCCATACCATCCTGATAAAATTCTATCAATGTATTTCCCAACTCAACCAAATTGAGTAACTTGAATACAGTGTACTGCATAGATTCTCAACATCTATGTATAATTATGCTCATATCAATCATTGACATGAACACACCCGACAACCAAAATAAATAACAAGGCTAATACAAACAAACTCGATTCTCTCACCCCAATAACGTACAAAAAAAAATGAATGGTATCATAAAATCCCTAACCCAAAGAAAAAAACACCACAAACCACCTTAAACACCACAGACGAACCATCCTCAAAGTCCAGTTCCCAACATGCGCAGCAAAAGACATAACCAAAGGCCTTTCGAGTATCCCTTGCTCCATCCCAGTCCATCTCTAGAGCGCATGACTGGCCATCCCCGGTAGAAATGTAATATCCGCTCCTTTCGGGGGTGAGATGAGGTAGAATAAGCCGATCATCGAGTAATATCCTCTACTCAGACGAAGTACACTCGATCCCAATATCCCAATCCACACCCAATCTCCAATCCTTATGATATGAAAGATCTATTCAGGCGACTTCGCCCCCTCCACCTCATTACTCTTCTGGATCAGGAATTCGCCGAGTACGCGGAGCGGGTTTTGTGGTCTATTTCCATACAATCCAGTTAGTCGACTCAATCCCCTAGCCCATCGCACATACACGTCGATGACTCTCGCAGGGTTAACATCACTCACTGCTCCTTCGTAACATGCTTCATTCCCTCCAGGAGATACGGGACGATCTTCTCGTTCATGTAGACTCGGGCCGGGGCACCGCCGGGCCGCACCTGGGTGGTTGGGGCGGGTTCGCCGGTCGGGGTATTGGCCGCTGCGGTGTTGGGGGTGGAGTCGTTGGCCATGATGGTTGGTTTTTCGATTGTCGAGGGGGTGTCTTTGGTATTCGGGGGTGGGATGGGGGACTCGGGCTTTTTTTTTGTGGGTTGTGAGCTCACAGGATTCCGTTGGGTTATGACGTTTGAGTTTGGAGATGATGGATGGATTCAAGTTTGAGATCAATCAATTGGATCCAACTATCAACTCCCGGTAATGGAGGGAAGACAACTGCGGGGCAATGTATAACAACAAGAGCAAAAAAGATTAGGGATTGAAGAAAAGTGTAGTAGATTTTATGGAGCTTCCCTTCGACATTAAACAAGTCATCCTTGTGGCGGGACAGCTCTCCACAGTGGGGATTAACCCATGGTATGTGTGCCGTTAAACATAGACTGGATTGGGGGGCTCAACTCACTGGGATGTCGGTCATGGGTTGATCCATCCTTGCGCCGTGGGGTATGTTAGATCTGAAGTTTCTATGTCTTCAATGTCTCTATCAGGGCTTCAGTTGTCACATTGAGGGGTTTTGTTTGTTTGATTCTGGGTTGTCTTGCTTATTCCTGCTGCTGCGGCGTGATTGGATGACGCTGCAAACACGACAAACATGTCCTTTCTTTTTTCCAATTAAGGTCAGGTGATCTCGTGTCGGAGGACGTGATTGCGCGTCTTGCACTTTGGATGTTGTCGTTGGGTTGGAGATAAAGGCGTTTCTTGGGGGCTTTTCCGGCGACTCTCATGCTGATAAGTACGCCCTGCCAGCATGTCCCTGTTGGACTACTGGGACACCCTGCGGCCGTCCGTCAAGCGCAGAAAAACCACGGCGGATGATACGGACGACACGACTAGTCTGAGCGATGCTGTTTCGGGCCGGAAGGATGGGCTGGAGATACCGGAGACGTCTGTGGTGAATCCAGATGTGTCGGATCCGGTGTATACACCATTTCTAGACCAGGAGCCAGAGGAGGATGTCCTTCCCTTTCCTGCGAGCCAGACGGAACTCGAGTCGTCGCTCCCGGCCGTCGAGACAGATAGCCACGCAATCGAGGAATACGAGGCCTCCCAATCCATCTCAGATAACGAGGAGGAGCCGGGGCTACGGGAACGGCTGCAAAATGGTAGGTGGCGGAAGGGGAAGAGCTCCATCTACGTGGATGCGTTCAATCTAGCGCTGGAAACTGTGCTAGACGAGGAGGCGCATCTGTTTGATGAGGCCGAGATGGAGGTCTTCAAACAGTGGAAGGAGCTATCATATGAATCCCAGTACTTGTCTGCTCGTCCCAGTCACAAACTGCACCTCCGAGTCACATACTAACCGCCACAGATATGTACGACTCTTTCTCCGAAAGACCTCAGCCTGGCATCGCATCAACCGACTAGGCTACTACTCCGACATCTCAGACCTTACAAGCGTAGTAAACGACCTCCAGCATACTCGAACTCTCCCTCCCAGCCCGTCCCCAGTAACCGAGACCCCCATCGACATGGAACACCCCAAACTAGCCACCCAATTCCACTTCGCCGACAAAACAGACCAAATCACCACCCTCGAAGAAGCCAGCGCCCTCCTCCTCCTCGACGAACTCAAGACCCTCGCCAAAGATGCCAAAGTCCACGGCAAAAGCAAAAAGGACCTCCTAACAGCCCTGCACCGCGCCAGCCAGCAACAAGCCGGCCTCGACTGGACCAACTCCAAAGCCGCCGCCAACCGCGACAGCCACTTCATCCAGAAGATCCTCGACTACACAGGCGACTGCATCCGCCTCGCCGCGGCGCCCCGGGCACTCTTCGAGCGCGTCCACCTCGTCTTCTACCGCTCGACCGAATGGACGGAGAAATCTCTCACCACCATCATCCTGGCGAAGATCTCGCGCCGCAACTTCCCGGAGTATGTGGTCTGTCGCTCGAGTTCGATCTTCCCGTCTCGGGCGTTTCTCCTGGAATTCGAGTCTGCTTTGCAGACGCAGTTCAACATAGACAACATCCTAGAGTTCAGCGGCACGCCGACAGTGCAATCACTGACCCAGATCCGGGATTATGCATACACGGTGTATCCGCGGTGGAAGCAGCTCTGCGAGCAGGAGCAGCAGAAGGAAGACAGCGTGTATGAGTGCGGGGAGGGGGCGTATCTGCGCCGCTTCTCGCCCGCATGGGTGTACACGAGAATCATCCACAAGGGCCTGTACCCGCTCGGCAGGTTCAAGGAGTACAAGGAGGAGCACCGGCTTCTGTTGGAGCTACTGGGCCAGCGGCTGTTTCATGCTGCACGCCGGGGGTCGTGGTATCAGCGGAAAGCACTCCTGGAGGAACACTACCTGTGGAGCCTGATGTCCTGGGAGGGACGTAGCGAGGATGCGCAACGGAAACACTGGCGACGGATCGCGTTGCAGACCTGTGAGGAGGGCCTCCAGGATCCAGACTGTCACTTGATCTACCACTATGACCTGCAGAAGCGGATTATGAAGCTCGAGAGGGCGCTGAAGGTGGTGAAACGCGAGCAGCATGACTTTAGTCATGTCATGTTGGCGAAGCCCGCGGAACGCACGGTCGAGGGCATTCGGATAGAGCGCGAGGAGTCATCCGCGCAGGACGATACGCCGAGACGGGGGCGTCCGACTGTCTGGGTTGATGAGCGGGATGGGGGCGAATGTCGCGTCGAAAGTATGTGTTTGAGCTGGTATCGCGACCAGAGGTGGAAGGGGTATCATTCTGAGGGAGGGATTGTGCGGACGCTGGTGAGTTGTGTTTATCTTTCTTCCCCTGGTTGAGACGACGAAGTCGCAGTTGATTGACTTGATGAGGACCAGTTCGGCTACCTCTTCTACGACATCCTCTTCACCTACGTCCCGAATGTCTTCCAGACGCCTTTCCAGACCTGTCCCTTGGATCTCCATACGGACGCCTTCTACGCTACGCGCGCCTCGGAGATCAACCATCGTCTGGTGGAGATCACCAACGGCGAGTCAGAGCGTATCCTGCGCGCTGTTCACGCGCGTGAAGCAGCCCGCCAGCCCTGCGCCATTGGCATCGATTGGACCTTCGAGCTGGACGACCTCCTTGACATCGTGCGGTGTTTCCGTGGCGAAGCCCTCGCGGCGATTTGCAAGGTGCTGGCGCAGGAGTATCAGCAGCGTGGCGGTGGCATCCCGGATCTGTTTTTGTGGCGGGCGGAGACTCGCGAGGTGATGTTTGTGGAGGTGAAGAGTGAGAATGATCGGTTGAGTGATACACAGCGCTTGTGGATTCATGTTCTGGGGGGTGCTGGGGTGAGGGTTGAGCTGTGTAATGCGGTTGCTAGGGAGGTGAGGTATCTGTAGTTATTCACTGGTGTATATATTGTTGTAGATGGGTTGTAGATGGGTCGTAGATGTTGAGATACCCATACATATCATGCTGTAGATTAGGTATCTTGTTGGGGACGAATATAGATCAGACACGAATAACAGAATCTGTGGGCATGATATATACCAACATGCACATACTACATAAACTACAATCTCTACCAGGAAAAAAAAAATTGGTCATAAATTTTATTTTCTTGTCGACGACAGATATAATCCATCACCACCTAATGCCTGGAAAACAAACACTAGATGACTAAAAACCCACCCATTCTCAGGGTAAGAAACCAATTCGAAAGACCTATCCGCGCCAACACACCAACACCCAGCCTAAGCGAGTAAAACCACTTAAGCAACGAGGGTGGAGGCGGTAGCGGACTCGTAACGCCAGGTGGGGGGAAGGACACCGACGGACTTGTAGTAACGAGACAGACGGTGGATACGGGACTCAATGAGAATGAGACGGAACTTGGAGTCCTTGTCCTTGCGGTTGCGCTCAAGGTGCTTGCGGACGGCAACAGCCTTCTTGATGAGGTGGTACAGATCCTCGGGGAGCTCGGGGGCGAGGCCTGAAAAAATCACTCTGTCAGCCTTGTTTTGACCAAGCAGAGGCATAATTGTGTTTTATATGATGAGGGATCTGTGAACGGGTCAAGGCGCAGACTTTCGCGGGGGAAAAGCTGCTCTCGACTCGCGTTCGACCATTTCCTTCTCATCTGGGGATGTGTGGGAGGGGGAGTGGCGTACCGCTGGACTTCAAGATACGGAGGATCTTGTTACCTATTCGTCAACTGTTAGACATTGCTTCTGACATCAACCATGGGGTGTCTGAACATACCGGTGACGTGCTTGACCTGGGCAACACCGTGGGAGTCACGGAGGACAACACCAATCTGGGAGGGGGTAGCACCCTTCTTGGCGAGCTTGCAGATCTGGTCGACAACCTGCTCAGCTGGCATGGGGTCAGTATCTCATGCGCATTGCGCTTTTGCGACGACGGTACTCACGGGTGGTCTTGAGCCACGAAGGAGCAGAGCGAGAGTAAGGCAGAGCAGAGGACGAAATGCCCTTTCCCTTGGAGTGAAGACGACCCATTTTGAATGAAGGTGGATTTGTCGGATTGGTTGTCGACGACGGTGTTGAGCTGCGCGGGGATAGAGTGAAATTTCTTCGAAGTCGAAGATCGTGTAGACGAAGATGAAAGTGAGGCCCGAAGGCGGTGTGTGTGGGGGTTTGTGGGGTCACGTGGTGCGGATGTACCTCGCTTAAATTAAGGCTCATCTGGCGTCCTTTTTTCTTTGCTGCTGCCGCGGAGTTTCTTTCCTCACCTGCTTTTCGTCCAGTCTGCGACTTGGAGCTTGATGGTGCTCTTTGCAATTGCAATCGACCTTCGTTCTACTAACAGTATCACTGTTCAGGTATACGTACAGGTTAGTGACCCCATGTCTCTCAATTTTTACAGCCTATATGATGAAACACAACCTTTTTTTATTTTTCTGGTACCTCTTATTTTAGGGCTGGTTCTCGTAACCAGCTCAATGAATGGAATGGACTTCTGAAAAAGCTGTTACTACTCTACGTGTTTATCAGTCGTTTATTCGAGCAATTGCTGACTCGTGGATGTATAGGAACTTTAGCCTTGGAATACACTGGAGGGATGTGGTTAATAGGTCAAATAGAATTCAATAAAGGAATATCTCGTTTCACTGTTGCCATATATGCCATGAAACTGTAGGCGGCGATTTCTGCTGGATCGCGATACTTCCGTCAGTAATCACTGTCTGGCTGTACTTTGTAGCTTTCTAGAGCGACACTCGGTTCGGTCCTTCTCGCTGCAAGTTCGACCATGATGAGCTTCTCCAGAAGGAACAATGCCAGGCTACTTCGACGTGTCTTGGAAGGCGAGATGGAGTCGCACATATCGCTCCATCTCAATACGAATTGCCCTCCGATATATAAAAAACAAATATCAATATACCCACATAATGGCGTGAAGAAGCGGAGAAGGAGTCACAGAATCACCTCTCAGCGACGGCCACGATGCAGGACCATCACACCGCTGTTGACAAATTCTCTTGCAGATCCGCTGGAATAACCTATACAGGATTATGCACGTCAAATGCGCATCTAACTCGTCGCGGAACGTGCGAGGATGCCCGTGTGGGGAGTCGAGAGAAATAACATCATCCACCGTGTGCGGGATTTTCGGACAATCGCATTGTGCCATTTTCCATCTGCAAGAGAGTGGGTTCAACTGCGCCGTTCGCCCGTGTGAAGCTGGGCCGGGAAGAGACATGCGAACAGCTTGGGTTCGTAGTTGAGGGATGAATGTCCTGAGATGGGGAATGACTGCTCAGCGTAGACCTGTGGAGATCCACGGTCACTAAAATCTCATCTTCTAAGACATTCTCAGGCCTGGAGGCTGGGCGAGAACCCCTCGCGAGTGCCGCAGTGTCTGTCTCGGAGACGTGATCTCAAATCTGGGGGCTGGTCCAGAGCTGAAAGACGAGCAAATCCATCGTCGCAAATGTGTCCATAACAGTATGACATTCGCGCTGTGTCCGTCCAGAAGGAACTTTGTAAAGATACTGATCAGCGCTTGGCCGACAGGAGCTGAACCATGTGGGCCAGGCCCAACTGTGATTTGGTGCGGCGTCGAAAGCTCGAGCAACATCAGCGCAACGGCATGGTCAAATCAAGCGAATTTACACTGTATACCGGATGTAGCACAGATGAAGGATGGACCAGTTGGGAATCTGACAAAGAAACAGAGGTAGATAGAGTATGGTTACTGGCAGCTGCCGCTGTGATCAGTTGGATTGGCGACGGACCTATGGCGATCACGAGGCTGGCCGTGCCCTTGCCACGATCACTCTCACCACCGTGCAGCGAGCCCCCATTGGGCACCCTCGCGACCGGACTCGCCTCCCAATCGACCATACAAATGGCACTGTGATGGGATTTTGTTACGATCGGTAGCACAGTTGGATTGGCGCAGGCAGATGGCCTTTTGAAAGGTCTGGAACTTCCGGTGATTTTCCGATGTCCCCAACCGTTGCCTTGCCGATCGCGAACGATGGCACGGATTTGCGGAATTCATTTTCTTGGGGGTATTGATGGTGATACAGTGCTTGGATAGTGATCTCGTTTAATCGAGGCCAAGACTGAATAGGATTTGGTCCGTCAGGTACAGAGTTGCATGGTGGTAAGACGAACGATAGGTACAACAATGTATTGGATGGTTATAATTATATATCACTCCAAGTCAGGTGTTTCCTGGATTCATGGTTACATTACTTGACCACCGTTGATTCGACTTCTATCCACTGTAGGTTTCTTCTCTGGGGATTCCTTCGCGTTGATTTGTTTCTCCTTTCGATCTCATCTTTACCGCTCGGCGATCATCTGCTATCGGACCTCATTTGGTGTTGTACGCTTAAGATACCCGTACCACTATCTCTACACCGTTCAACCGGTCCGTGGCTGAATGGCTAAATGGTTAAATGTTCCGATTGGAATGTCGCTTAGGTGGAAGTGACAAGCCATCCGTCAGTGGCGCACAATCTTCATTTGCAGCACAATGACAAAGCGTGGCGTGGCTTGCAAACTATATCGGTGAGGAAAGCGAAGTTGAATTCCAAATTCCCCTGACCAAGACGTCGAAGCCATGGAAGATGAAGAGTAACCTTCGATGCAGAGCCGGTGTCTCATCCCTTGCTTCCAACTTACTGGAAGTAGTTAAGTGACATCGCCGTGGATTCTTCTGTGGAAAGTTCCACGCCAATAGTCAAACTTTGTATGGGATTCGGTCGGTAGTTATAATTACCGGTGGCACACAGTATAGCTCACTGGATTTTGCAACGATGGTCGTCGACCGGTGTCAAATTCCATCGAACTCGGAACCCTAAAAAGTGGATGCTTCCATCTGTAATTATAGCATCCCAGGGAGCCCACCCTGCTATGTTTTTCACGGTCCGGATAGGACTCTCCGTGCCCCATCGAGGAAGAGCTACGAGGCTGATCGACTGAGGACCTGTCAGTAAGGAGCTTGATCGCTGAGACTATAGGGAAAGGAATCAACTATGGTTCTCGGCAGATGTACTATTAGCGATCATACCTGAGCAAGTTGCATCTCGACATCCGCACAGGACACTATTGAGTTGGATCGTCGTCGCGGTCCAAAGCCAAGGCAGAACCTTGATCAGTGGCCATCGACGATGTCGCATCGCAACAGGAACCCATCGCGGAAAAGTCCCAAGAGAGTAAGCCCAAAGCCAATTGCCGCGGCCGTGACGATCACTCTGTCAGCCGTGGTGTAGGTTTCCACCTCGTCGATCCATGTTGGGACGAGAGCCTTCCTAGACCGGCAAGTGGAAACATTTGGGAGAGACGAAGAGTGAATAGTCGTCCTTGACAACTCGGGTGTTTGAACTCTGAATACGTGTGCTCTCCGAAGTTGTACCGTGGACAACCGATGCTCTTTGCAGAATTCGGATGAGGCTCTACAATAACGCGAGAGCAATACCACCTAATGGCATCCGCCGACCTCCATTGGACGGATAAATACGTCGTATTGCCCCAGTATGGTCGTCTGTGGGTTGTCTAGGAAGGTAGTATTCTTTTTCCTACGTCAGCGGAGGCTGAGCAAATTGATTGATTGTCTTGGTATGTATCCTGGATGCCATGGCTGTTACGATCCAGACCCAGGCCATTGGATCTGGATAGGATTACTACTACTATTGTTTCTATTACTAGTACTACCCTATGTGACCAAAGATTGGAAGATTGAAAAACGAGAGAATACGAGACACGAGGGAACAAAAGAGTCGCACTACTCTTATAATAATACGTGCTCCTAGGCCTAGTTCGTCCCACCACAGCCATTCATGCATTGTGCAGGTACCAGGGGCAAGGGCGACCACGGGGTGGAAGAAAACCATGGCGGCGTTGCGAGGGAGTCCGTCGAACTCAATTTGGAGGGATCATCCCTCCTCTCCGATGCATGGGAAGTGGGAACAACCATGATTGAATTTTGAATTTTTTTTTTTTAAATTCAATTATTAAATTATTGAATAAAATACAAAATGGAAAAATATGCGTTAGTCTAGGTTAGTGCACTGGGTTGGGCTTAGTGGGTGAGGTCAAGGTTTATTGGTGGCCAAGGTAAAACTACGGTTAATGCAGGGTGGAAATGGTCGCTTGGGGTCTGGAAGGGATAGGCATTGGGTAGAGGTCACTTAGACTCTGATAACTCTTCACTAGATCCGAGTATACCTCGTCTCTCCGCGGTCCATGGTACTTGACGGTCCCATGTGCCGTATCCCAGGGTTTTCTTTCCCTCAAAGCTAGATTGACTAACCGGTTGGTACGGAGTCCCTCGAGGATCTGTCTCCGTCCGTGGGAGAAGGTTGAACTAGTTGAGTATGATGCTGCAGGAACCAGACGCAACACCGAAGAAACCAGGGAAATTTCCGCTTAAAAGAGAAACAGAAGCGAAGGAAAACTCGATCCATGTCCGTTTGCCACGCACAACCTTGTCACCTGAGTCATGTATGGGCGTTACAGAGTAATACTTGGCAGTTCCTAGTGCTCTCCTAGGCAGCCCTAACAGCAGAGAATCCCCGTCGTAAAGTTGGATATTGTGCAGGGACTTAATGCACGGTGGCTACTAAGCAAAAAAGAGTGAGAACTAAAATTGGGGAGGGAATTGATTTCTCCGGGAGAATCAGGTCTCATATTTAGGACCAGGTATCATGTTTGCCGATGTCCTTTCCTTGCCGCAGACCTCAACCATGGTTAGCCAGAACCTGACACAAGTAGGGCTTCGGATTTCTATAATTGAATAGAGAACAGACCGTCCTCACCAAGTGGAGGTGCCCGGTATTTCACCTCCCAATCAGTCGCAGTGAAGGTCATCTGTAAAATTTCCACATCAAGGCTAGATTACGATACGGGGCTCTCGTGTGAGGAAATTAACCAATACGCCAAGTCGTTCACGATTCTCTCCCCGCTCTGCATACCGTTTTCTGTGACCAAACTACGCCGTCTCCACCGTCTTAGTGGTGAATGGGCCATCTCTCCAGTCCATTGGAAACCCCCGTCGGACAGACATACGGAGTACACAATACAAATCTTTCGAAGTTTGAGCCTGTCTGGGATCCTACACAGTCCCCACCCTTGCATTCCCCCCCCCTGGTGCCAAGCTCATCCTCGAGCTTCGTTCCAGTCACTCTTCCAACGATGTCTGTGCCCAATCACCGCCGTAGATGCCGACGGGGTATGGGTGCCTCTGGTGAACGGACCTCTCCCCAGTCAGTCCACTGGAACTGCCTCCCCCTCAACACTCAAAGCGATTGGGACCTTTGCTGGGACTGGGGAGGCACTAAGATGGCCCATTACTATTTCTAACTATATCTGACTATCGCCCCCCCTTCTTGTTCTGGCGTTTCCTCACCTTCTCACCCTGACCACCACACTGACCACTATCGTGAGAGATCGTCCGCGCCTTTGCTGCCGATTGCAGTCGTTGCGCGACTGTGAGCCTCTCGGTGGGGTATCACACTCGAGGGTCTCTCCTGTGTCGCATTCTCGAGTGTCGTGGGTCTCGCCATTTTGCCAGGATATGACATTCTCCCGCTCTCTGTCGCATACATCACACACCACAGATCCATAGTAGAATTCCACAAGATGACGAATCAAACCTTGCATGGGCTCTGCCCGGAGCCATTCCTCCAAGAGTCTTTCTTTCCGTCCACTGGTGGATGTACGTTCCTGTCGCCTCTTAAAAATCGTTGGTTGTTGACCAGTCCTGGGCTGTGGAGGACTAACCTGTGAACCAACAGTTACCCAAGGACGGTATTGTGCGCAGCTTCCTTCAGCAAACGGTAATGTTTCTTGTTGTATGCCCTGTCCATTGGCAGACTGGATGTATGGGGAGGGTAAGTACAGGTCCCGGTTCGCAGCGCGTTCCACTTTGCTAACGAGATCGACGGTCAATAGAGATCACTACCAAGTCGCGAGCTGCGAGTTGGCTGAGCGTGGCAGTCTTGCCTCTCTGCATTTTCCTCCTGGTTTCTTATGCGGTTCTGCCGCCACGATGGACGCAGCGCCATTACCTGAGCATCTGCTTTACGATGGGGATCTTCTGTATGGAGGTAGGTGGTTTGAGATAGATAGTCTAAGAGTGGCGGGAATGGGCTGACCCTCTAGATCGCGTTTGTTATTCCTCTCGGTGCCAAACCCGACCAGTGTTACAATCAGATCACACCAAACGACATGCATTCGAACTTATCCTGCGCATGGTCCGGTACTTTGTTACTCTTTGGCGGCTGGGCTGTCGTAACGTGGAGTACGTGGTGCAAAGCTAACTGTTTTCGGGCTTCGACCGGCTAATCGTCGCAGGCTTTATTCGTACCCTTGCATTCCATCTCCAGGTTTGCTGGGAGGTGATCCTCGGCAAGAAGTTCATGTGGGGGGCTTTCATCTGCGGCTGGGGCATCCCTGGTATCGGCATCACGGTCATGCTCCTCTTGACTGGGATATCCTTCCGCTTTGGCGACATGTGCCATATCAACATCAAGCATGCGACCAAGGATTACTGGGCCCCGGTCATGGCCTTCGCGGGGGCATCTCTGGTCCTGCAGCTCGCTACGATGGCGTACTGTATCCATGTTTACGTGAAGTCCATCTTTGATACCACCGACTCCAGCACCAACAGTTCCCACCTGCCGTCCTATACATCCAGCGTCCGCACCGTCACTGCGCGCCAAGCATACCGTCGTATTCGACGAGTCCTGCAGTTGCAATGGAGAGGCGTCGCCTTGGTTTTCGTCATTATCGGCAACGTCATCTTCTTCGCCGTGGTGTTCATCCAAGTCAACAACAAGACGAGCCTGACCCCGGAGAACCTACACAAAGCCCAACCATGGATTTTCTGCTTGGTTTCCACGAAGGGTGACGTCAACAAATGCCAAAGCCTGGCGCACGCCATTGGCCCGAATGAATCGACGATTTTGGCCCTACTGATTCTCTTGTCTCTGGTTGGGTTTTGGAACTTTATTTTGTTCGCACGTCCGGGGATGTTCCTCGGCTGGGCCGAGTTCTTCAAGACCAAACTTGGGCGGAACCACGAGTTCGTCTCTGCGGATGCTCGTGCGAAAACCCCGGACACACGGACGTACGAGATGCTGGGGAGCGCCGTACTCACATCCTGCAAGTCGCCAGAACCAATCGTACGGTCTCCCAGCGCGGCGCGGACCAAGAGCCCGGAGGGGAGCCACTACGGACGAGATGCGCGGTACGTGCGGCCGTCAATGAGCTTCTCGTCGCCTCGGCCACCCAGCGCATCACAAGGACGCGATTGGGATCCTCAGTCCACGTTTGCCCAGTCGAACCATCAGCACACTCCCTCCCAGTGATTTCCCTTCTTTTCTGTTTTCCCTTTACTTCGTTTTAATCAACGAAAAGTCCTGTACATTGATTGTATGATGTATGATCCTATACCCTATCTGTTCTGTGTTGCATAGCTATCTTCATGTTCTATACTAGTCAATCATCTCGAATGATAATGGAAGAGACCAAAACCCGGTTCACCGTTGACCGTCATTCCTTGGAATCCCCCCCAAACCCAAAAACAGCTTGCAGAAGCTGACCAGCACAAAGGGACGGAAATCCGGACCCGATGAAACCCTTCTTCCTTCACCCCCCGCATTTCGGTAGCTTGGATCCATAATTGAGGTCACCGACTAGTGTCGATAGTTCGATACGGAGGACCCTCCCTAAGGTTCCAGAGCCACACCCGCCCTCTGACTTTTCCCAAACCCTCCCTTCAACGCATCATTCTCCAACCCTAAACCAAACACAGAAGGTCTTGTCTCCCAATACCAATTAATTACACAATGAAATAAAATAGAATTAAAGATATTAAATCCTGACAATAACCCAAATCCCCGAAATCCTCCCGCCGGAACAACCTCACCAATCACGTCCCCCCGAATAATCCGCCAACCGCGGATCCCCAAACCATCACATGTCACGACGACCCCTAACTTCCCCCATTTTCCCGACGCGCGCCCGCGCCATGGTTTCGTTTCTTCTAGAACGGCGCTGATAGTCTGTCATACATGGTTCTCCCGAGGTCCCCGTGGCAGATCGACAGTTGGTTTCCAAATTTCAATTGCCGTCATTGACTCCTTTCGGCTAGGATCTACTGCCAGGGTGGGTTATATTTGCGTAGTGGTTGGGGCAGACCGGTGGGGTTTGGGGTGAGACTTTTTTTTTTTTTTTTTTTTTCTCTCTGTATTGTCGCATTTGGGTCATGATTACGACGCTGCCCCGTGGGGTAAGCAAGGCTGGGTCGTGCATGGATGCCGTAGTGTAGTGGAGGTGATCGGTGGAGATTACTACCCTTGGGACGACGTGGTGTGATCGGATCTGTGGCATGATCGGTCCGGCATTGTGTGGATTTTGCGGGGGATAACGAGGGATCTGGGATCTTAGTTGGGGGTGTTATAGTTATACTGCTTGATTGTCGATATGGGGTTTGGTGGCATTGTGTGAGATTCAATGAAGTCAGTCAGTCCGTCAACTATTGAACTATATCACCGGGAGGTATGGAACACTATTACACTATACAACTGGAATGTAAGTAAGATACATCTCGGGACCCGGATACACAGCTTCCGTCCTGTGATGTGCATCCAGTCTACCATGGACCAACGCCTCGACCGGACCAAAGTCTTGTTGAACTTGGTCCAACGTCGCACAGCTTGAAGTTAGCTATCTGGCGTATCTGATCCGGTAGGTGAAGGCGAGGGGTCCTGTCTTCCGCAATGGCAGTTAAGGTTCGTCCCTAGTTTAGACAGGAAACGATGAGCTTGGGCCGAGGGTTCAGGGTGGACCACGTTCACATGTCGCACGCTGATCCATTTCCACTTCAATCAGCGATAGCCGACAGAGCTATTACAAAACATGACGCTCTTTGTGTGCCCGGGCTTAATCAGTGTTGGCGGTGGTGGCGAGTGCCGATATTACACAGTATATGATATATACTGATATACCCTGGGGATAGGGTTTGATAAGGCCTGTGATCACTTGACCTGGCCCTTAGGATGGCATTTGCTGTTTCGGGCAGCGGCTGATATTAGGTTTTGTTGACATTCTCTTAATGAGTCGAGACAGCTTGGATATTGGGTTTCCGAGGCGTCGACGACAAAGACGTTAGGTGTCATCTGCAGGACATGCCGGTCTTTGTTGCGATGAATCGGTATGCGTTTGCCGAGCCATGGCGCGCTTGCAGAATCAGGTACCGCCGTGCCATTGAGCTCCTGTCAAGCTTTGACCTTCGAAGCTCCTGAAAGAGCTACCATGGGTCATAGCGCCTCGATGTATCGTGGCTTGCGAACAAAGAATCTCGCTACAGGTACCCGACATAACACCGCGGGAAATTCGGGGATTCGGTACCGTTCAACATTTATGGATACTTACAGGCACTAATGCAAGTGGGAGATTTGTTGGGCTCAGACACCTTGATTTATTTGTCAAGACTGGTTGTACCTCTGCCATTGCCGAGGGTGGGATATTTGGTTAACCCAACAGAGTTTCTATGAAGCTCTACGGTCATGAGTTTGGCTGACATCTTGACGCAGAGAAACATGTGTTTAGCTGCCTAAAGCATATTCACAGAGTGGAATTACTGTTTTTGTGGGATGATATCAATCCTCAAACAAGAAAACTCAGCAATCTCATTTCAAATGAAGACTAAAGGGATTCTTCAACTGGGTCTATCATTAGACTCTTGATGTTAGTACACAGGATAGTTATATCTACATTCACATAAGACTGCTCACATGTCCCCTTCTGTGACCCTAAAAGGATAGCATAGCGACCCTGTCATGGAGCTTCCATCTACCCAAGGCCCCAGGACAGGGTATCTCAGATGGTGAGCAGATTAAACCCAGACACGGAGGACCGTCACCAACTAAACAGCAGGTGCGTATTTGCAATATGATACCCTGAATACCGGGATATGGCGAGACGAACTACACTGGTCGCCTCTTGGAGGAATGGTGTAATGATGTGCTCAATAAGTCTTTGCGGCCGCGAATAGGGCCCTGGATAGAACATACAACCGCTGTCGGCATTTTTGCAGCCAATATTCTGTGAGGTGGTCATTAGAGGAGGAGGAGAATGGATAATCTATAGTTATCAAATACCAGTCTCTCAGACCTGGTGTCAATATTCGAATGATATTGTCACAGGACTACGAGGTATCTAAGCTTACCAAACAGGTCAACTCACGACAGTTTTAAGTGTTTTTCTGTGGAAGCACTCTAAAAGTCTATCGTGTTTCAATAATAGTTTCACACAGGTTTAGCTACAGCAGCTGAATTGAATCAAGCTGATACAGTTGATGGGTTGCCACACCGTGCATGGAGAACACTTCCGATGCCTCTGGTGGTGTAAGGGCGAGAAGGTCGAAGGCCTGTTTTGCGATTAATTGGCGACGCGTCAAGATCTAAAAACGTGCACATCACCTTTCGATGATGTAGAACGATATGAGAAATTTACTCCGAAGACCCATGATGGCTATCTGACTTATGATGAGGGTCGTGTGGGTTAGGAGACGAGGTATATACTGCCTAGATCTTTTTAGACTGAACTTTTTCTTTGTTGATAAACCCTTTGTCGTGATAGTCCTATGCTCTCAGTTTCTGGCGACTATGGTGTTGCGAAGTGACGGGGCTTGCTTCATATACGGGCGTCCGGGATGTTGAATTGGCTGGCATACGTTGTCAGGTTACTTTGGCGTATTGTATAGACCAAACATCCTGAAAAAGCAAAGCTAGGATAGTAGTTTTATGTATTTGTTGAGAATACCATGGTGATGCAATTCGTACCGAGAGAGTTTTTGACTTCTAGAAAGCGTCGTCGAACAATACTAGGATTGATCATTAGAATCTTGCAAACCCGAATCCACGCACCTAGGCGTGCTTGGTCAATTGCCCTGGCTAGGGAGATAGTGCTAATATCCAGCACCAGATCTACAGCAATACTGTGGCGCGGTAGGGGTTGCTATGGTTCTTTGTTGAATAAACCCAGGTGTATCAGAGCTGTGCATATACTTGGTACATTCTATGCCATCTACATATTTCTCTTTCCAGTAAACGTCTATAAGACGTGAACAACCGAAATGGAATGGTTAGCGGTTCCGAAGCCGCTTTGACATCCGTCTTGTCGTCTGCGTCTCAACAATGGTCTTGACATCCTTATCATCACTGGGCTCGGTCTTCACGTTGCTTTCGCTTGCAGACCTCTTCACTCCTACAGCTGTAGCAGTAGTGATTTTCGTCGTAACCTCGGCTTTGCGATCCTCATCGGGCTCGTGCTTGACCTTGACTTGCACCTCCTCCTTCTTCGAAGCAACGAGTCGATCCGAGAATGACCTCAAGTTAGCCGTAAACAAAACACTCTGTGCCCAACCAGCCTCGCTTCCCCAAAGCTTGCGGAAATGATTGCCCACGGCGTCATATGTAGCCTTTGTCAACGATTTATGGGCACCTTTGCCAAACTTGTAATCTCTCTGAGCTATTTGCCACACTGTTCGGTAATGAGTTAGCATTCGACAACGTCCGTAGAAAGAAATAATGACAGGAAAAGTACCGTGGGTATCAACAGGAACAGATTCTCCCCATCCCAACCCCATCAGACAGACACAATCTGCAACCTTGGGCCCCACACCCTGTAACTCGAGCAGCTTCTCATGTGCCTCGCGATATCCCTCTCGGCCTTCTGGTCTCATCTCCCCACCGGGCGCAGGTTCAACCCCCAAAGCGGGAGACTCGGGGTTCCGCAAAGAATCCAACCATCCTTTCTCGCGCTGTGTTGAGACAATCACTGCCGTTTGATATATGTATTTGGCACGGTATCCGAAGCCCAGACTCCGCAGCCGACTCTCTACATCCTCGCCGGCCAGGGCCTCGGGTGGTGGGAAGTCATGGTACGCGCGGCCGTCGATAGAGGCGATGAAGGGGCCGTAGTTGATACAGAGTTTCTCGACCATCTGGGATATGCGCGCGATGTTGTTATTGCTGCTACAGATGAAGGAGACTAGAGCCTCCCAGGCGTCTTGACGTAGGATGCGGATTCCGGTGAATTGAGGAGCTTTCTTCTTGAAGTTGGGGTCGTTGGAGGACCAATGGGAGTAGAGGGATGTCAGATCGGAGGCGAGATTGAAGTAGTGTGTGAGAATAGGGAGGATGTCATCTTGATCAGATTGAGGTTTGTCTAGAGGTTTGTCCGAGTCGGCACGAGAGGGCGGATGTGATGAAGGTGGTGTTGGGAGAGGGGCCGGGGGTAAATAAGTCCTATAATGTAGATGTGTCGGGTCCTGATTGAGAGATAGGAGGCGACCATGGAGGACACATCTCCATTCATCGCTGTCAGGCACGTTGTGCCATCTAGATCAATTAGCCAATGCGCCGGATATGTATAGGAGAAAAAGGGGCAGCGCTCACCGAAATGACTGCCCACAACGGAGCGTCGTGTTAATGCATAGCTCGCTGAGACTAACTGGCAGTCTGCGCCATTCTGAAAAAGCCCCGACAGTCATGATAACCGTACTGAATCAGCTGGAAACTTCAAAAAGAGACTCCTATCATATCAGGGCAGATAAAGATTCTGCCAGTTCGGATGGAAAACAGAAGGCGGTCAACTTCGCAGACACACGCGCTAACCGCTTCGGCTCTAGACGCCGCGGCTGCTCGCCGATCGTCACGACTGGAGTTTTCCTCAGCGCAGCTCCGTCGTGCAAGCATCCTCTCCCTCATCCTGGATTGTTGGTTCTCTGCCCTGTTGCCCGCTTATTTTGACTAGAGGCATATCCCGAGGGCTGCTGCTTTTATAAATTTACCCACAACCAGAAACAGCAAGGAGCAACGAATCCTGAGCTCAGTATGAACGGCGATACGTATTCGTCCAGAGGTCAGTACTCGCAGTGCAGTCCCACTGTTAGCTGTCACATGGAATGGTCATCTAATCGTTATGGTCGCAGACTCTGGCCGCTCCAGGGACTACTACGTGAGTGCTTCATGGCTGTCATGTTGCCTTCACTTCATACTAACGTAAGCCCTATCAGCGCGACGAGCGACGAGAGCGCGGAGACAGAGGAGATAGAGGAGACAGAAGACGTTCGAGATCCCCCCACTACAGCTCTAGAAGTTCCCGACGCGAACATGAAGTAGATACGTACTCGTCGAGCCGTGACTATCGCGCCAGAGAACGGGAGGACCGCTACTCCAGCCGGAGGGATGATCGTGAATGGGACCGCGACCGCGGCGCAGACCGCGGTGGAGACCGTGGCGATCGCCGACGCAGAGACTACGATGATCGGTCATCCCGACGCGATAGGGATCGAGGAGATTTGTTCGAAGAAAGACCTAGACGAGATGGCAGAGACCGCGACCGTGAGCGCGACCGCGGTGATCGTGCCGACCGCGGCGGCGGCGGCGGCGGCGACAGGAGAGAAAGGCGAAGGAGTGCGTCGCCACCTCCTCGGAAGAGGGAAGCAACGCCCGACTTGACAGAAGTACAATCGGTTTTGACTCGAAAACGTCGTCTGACGCAATGGGATATTAAGCCTCCTGGTTACGAGAATGTGACTGCGGAGCAGGCCAAGTTGTCAGGTGAGATTGCTTTCATATGCCCGTGGATATGTGTTGGATAGAGAAAGTTTACTTACTTTGCAGGCATGTTCCCGCTTCCTGGTGCCCCACGACAGCAACCCATGGATCCTAGTCGCCTGCAGGCTTTCATGAGCCAGCCCGGTGCTGGAACGGCAGAGAGCGCCTCCCTGAAACCATCCAACTCCCGCCAGGCCAAGCGCTTGTTTGTATCCAACCTTCCTGCGAGTGCAACGGGAGAGAACTTGCTGTCTTTCTTCAATCTTCAGCTCAACGGCCTGAATGTCGTTCACAGTGTGGATCCCTGCATCTCAGCCCAAGTGTCCGATGATCGTAGCTTTGCACTCCTGGAATTTAAGTCGCCGAACGATGCTACAGTCGCGCTTGCTTTCGACGGAATTACGATGGATGAGAATGAAGCCTCCGGCAACGGAGCGGCGAATGGAGCACCCCAGGGCCTTGAAGTACGGCGGCCCAAGGATTACATTGTTCCCAGTGGCAATGAGCAGGAATACCAAGAGGGCGTATTGCTGAACGAGGTTCCCGACTCGCCCAATAAGATCTGTGTGTCAAATATTCCTCATTACATTCCGGAAGAGCCTGTCACCATGCTTCTGAAGTCCTTCGGCGAGTTGAAGTCTTTTGTTTTGGTTAAGGATAGCTCAACGGAGGAGTCTCGGGTAAGTACTGCTGAACGACTGACTATGGGCTGCGACTGACTTAGCTAGGGAATTGCATTCTGCGAGTACGCTGATCCTAATGCTACGAGCATTGCCGTGGAAGGACTCAATGGCATGGAACTGGGTGACAGACATCTCAAGGTTGTGCGTGCCAGTATTGGAATAACGCAGGCCGCCGGACTCGATATGGGTGTCAATGCGATGTCGATGTTTGCCAAGACCACTTCCCAAGATTTGGAGACCAGCCGTGTGCTGCAGTTGTTGAATATGGTGACGCCCGAGGAGCTCATGGACAACGATGATTACGAAGGTACGTACTAACCTTATGCCATCTTGTAGCTTACTAATGGCGATAGAAATCTGCGATGATGTGAGCGAGGAGTGTTCGAAGTATGGTCAGGTAGTTGAATTGAAGATTCCCCGTCCCTCCGGCGGCAGCAGACAGTCTCCCGGTGTGGGCAAGATCTTTGTCAAGTTCGACACGGTGGAATCAACAACCAACGCGCTCAAGGCGCTTGCTGGTAGGAAGTTCTCTGACCGGACCGTGGTGACGACCTACTTTTCTGAGGTAAGTCCCTGTCTTCCTTCCCGGAGTCCGTCTCATCTAACATTCGTCTAGGAAAACTTCGATGTGAACGCCTGGTAGTGTAGACGGCGGGAATGGACATTGTTCAATTGCTCTAGTTTTTCTACATTCTTGACCATTAAAGATGCTTAATCGATCAGATTCCCTGGGTTGACCGGACCTGGTGCAGGCTTGTCTGGCTGGGGTTATACATTTATTGCGTGTGTATCATAGCGAGAGTATGAAATTGGAGTGTATCATCTAACGCGATTATCATTGTAGATCTGTCACTAACAGGTAACACGTGGATCTATCGAACGGTGCGTGGCTAACGATCTGCTTCGAAGCTGAAGGGCAGTGAGCCTTGACAATGTCTCTATGGTACCGGTTTCATTGCATAGCTGAAGGATAGTCAGAGGTTCCTTCATCGCCAGCAGCAGATGCTTCCAGGTCCTTTCTGAAGTCCATCTGGCTGATCTTCAATTTCTGCGTTTGCTGAGAGCACATGGCCTGTAGGAATGACACAGTTAGCTCATGAACGACTATGCACCAACAGAAAAGGTATATCTGACCTCCTCAATACTGTTTTCAACAAGGTAGCGGGTGACTAGGACCTGCTGCTCCTGGCCAAGACGTATTGCGCGTGCAACAGCCTGGCTCTCAACACTAGGATTCCATTGCGGCTCGACGATGAATACCCGATTGACGGATTTTAGGTTCAACCTGCTTTACTTCAGCCAGAGTATTCTTCACAAGTAAGAATCATCGGAAAGCAGGCCGTACCCGAAAGCTCCTGTGCCTGTTGTCATGATCAAGACGGGAACCGCTCTGGTGCCATCGAATTTGTCAAGGATCTTTTGGCGCTGAGATGTCGGTGTTTTGCCGTCAATGCGCTCAAATTCTATACTTGAAACTTTCAGATGCTTTGCTATCAGATCAAGGGTCCGTGTCCAGCATGAGAAAATGATACTGCACCGTTGTCAGTGATAAGAACAGCTTGCACTGATCAACCATACCTTTTGGTTGTCCCTATATCCCTCTGCACGTCGGATATGAGCACCCTCATCTTGGATGAGTGACCGTCCGCGTTGAGATAATCTGCGCCGCTTCGGTTTCTCTGGTTTGACGCGGTGGGTATATGGCCACGGTAGCGTGATCCCCTAAGAGATTCACATAGTGGACAGTGGCGCCTCTCCTCTGGGTCTGACTGAATGCTGCTGCCCCACGAACAGTCATCACATAGGACATGCTTGCAACTTTCTACATACTTTGGCCGCCTGCCATGTGGCATAACCGGCAAAGGTTGTCGGCAACCTGAGCAGCGGTTCAAGCTATCCCTTGTCATAGAACAGACAGGGTCCAGCTCATCCTCCAGCAGGTTCCTCTTCGCCCAAGAGAACCGGGGCTGGTATGTTCCATGATTGCAAAAGCTCCTTAGCTGCAAAAAGACCTGGAACATGCCGAATGTCTCGGCTTGCTGATTGTATTCCCCAGCCTGCTGGTGGATGAATCGCTTCATGTCTTTTCTTGTAAGCTCATACTTAGCACGTTCTTCAGGAGTAAATTGCACACGGCGTAATTCTGATCGTTGGCCTGGCAGGTTAACACGCTCAATGGTTCTTCTGAGACAGACAGCTTCTAGAAGGTATGTGAGCCTTTCGATTGCTTTCCGCTTGGTTGCCCTGACTCCAAAAGGATTAGCTATCCAGTGACTGAAGTTTCTGGGATCGTGGAAAGGTTTTAGCTGTAAAAAGGCCAATAGTGAGCCTAGATCGCCTAAACTGTTCTGAATAGGAGTTCCCGACAGACACCAGCGTGATCTGGCTCTCAGTTCGACCACAGCCCTATGAAAGGTTGTGCTACGGCGACGTATCATGTGGGCTGAACCTGGTTAACATCGTCGCTTCATGCAGACATTACCCATGTCAGTGACCGACCTTCATCCAGGACAACTCGATACCACGCAAAGTCATGTAGCGGGCTCTGCCCCTTTCCGAGGATCTTCGCATCATGCTCCTTTGCAAGGGTGTTATACGTGGTAATGACAATATCGTATCGGTCGATGTTGCTAACTAGCTCCTTCCGCGATCGTCCATGGTATCTCATCATCTTCATGCCGCCATTTAGGTGACTGGAGGACTATTAGTATCTTGAGAGACCACGGTGACAAATTTCTTACTCATCAATCTCCCTCTCCCAGGTGTTAATCAACACTTTACAAGTTAGCTTGCTCATATCATTGCGGCGTGAAGGCCCTTACCGCGTGAGGGAACAATGACTAACGTCGCTCGACTAGGTGTCTTTGCAAGGGAAGCTCCTGGTAGAGCCTTCGTCTCCTCTACCCATTGACGTGCTTCGCGCAATGTCTTTGCCGTAAGAACCAGTGTCGTAAGGGATTTCCCCATGCCCATCTCATCAGCAAGGATTCCTCCACCACTCTCGTCAGGTTGCTCTTGCTGCTCGTTGCCGGTGATGACATGGCAATACCTAGTTCCAGTCAGTGCCAATGCTTCATACGTGAAGTGGGAGTTCCTACAGTTGCCCCCGGCCCACAGACTTTGGTTGCCAGAGGCGATACTTGTCTTCTGAGATATTGCCTGTTTCTCGCTGTATCATGAAATCTAACGCTTCTCCTTGATGCCTATTACATTGCAAGAATCAGCTTCTAGACCATTGCAGAAGGAGTACAGAATTGACAACTGACCGGTATAAGGTCCTGATCAATGTTTCGCTCCCTCCCAGTTCAGTAAGATGATCACCTCGCTGTAGCGAATTAAAGACCTCCGCCATGGTCTCGCCGAAGCCTTCGTCCCGCTCAGGCGTAGTTTCCGATACTTCCTCGTTTACGTCCTCCTCATCCTCGGTGTCTGTCTCATCCATCCCATCCAACCGTAAAATATGTGGATTATCATATTTGATCCCAACACGACAGTCATCGGGGTGTTGGAGGAAGAGATCTTTCTTTGAAAGCTCTCTGCCTACTTCATCGCGGTCATACTCTCTTCCATAAACGTTGATGCTCACACGGGTCGCAGCATCAGCTGGCTTCCCAGCCCGACGCAGGGACTCAACGAGCGAATTGAGATTGGTGAGAGCATCGATCTCGAATAAGGGCAAACAAATAAGTGCTTCCAACGCCTGCTCCATCTTTCTCGATAGATATCCTAGATCCGTGCCGTCAGGAAACCTGAGGAAGAGTGACCCGTCGCCAGATGGTTGGATGCTAAGGGTGTGAATATGCTGGTTATTATCTTTGAGTGCTAGGATCTTAGTCTCTAGTTCTTGGCCTTTCCCTACTAGTTTAACCTTCTCGTGGACGAGCTAAGTCTATGTTAACCTCTGATGCTTGTGCAAGGGATTGTGACTAACCATCCCATAGCAAACCTGCTTTCCCTGCTCACTGGACGCGACATCCACCATCAAAACGCCAACGTTACCCACCGGCCCATCGGTAAAGTCCACCCCAGGCGTTGATGTCATGGAAGTACCACTCAACCCTACATCATCAGGCACCGGCTGCAAAAAGGAGGCTTGATCAAAGGGAGTGGCGTCTAGCCCTGGAATATGCTCAAGCTGATCCACAAATATTAAGTCTTGGTCGCCAAAGGAATGATTGAACGACATATCTGTCGGATAGACGATCGAATCAAGGTGGTCCTCTGATGGGTTCAGAGCCCTAGTCCCATCAACAATGAACTACATAAAATAGCGGGACCATCAACTACCAGTCAACAGGCACTTCGAGCCTCGGACGAACACGCCGCATATCATCTGTCCAGTCGTCTCCATCGTCCTCGTCTGTCGGGTTGAGAAGTGGTCTGAGCGACATCGTTGTTGCTTGCTTAATCAATGCTGCTGTGACGATGGAATACGGGTTTCATGGATCTTCTGTTTGAAGTCACTAGCACCTGGGCTGCGATAAGGGGAAGAAATGCAAACCTATATAGCTGTGAAGAGCACTGATCTCACTGCTGAAGACGAGGCTGAACTAGGGCTGAGTCGGAGGGCTTAGATAAGCCCAACTGCCCCTCCTAACGTCCCCTCCAGGATGCTAAAAGTGCAGTGAGTATCCACTGGATGGCGACAAAGATTACATATAAGGTCAACGTCTCCTAGGCCCTAAAATTGCAGTACACGTCGCGTATGATTGTGCAACACGTGGCAGCCTAGACGAGGCTGACCGCAGAGCTCTCCAGTTCTCTAGCGGGCTAGAATTGCAGAGTCAGCCTCACTTTCTGCTTTCTGTTTCAGCATAATTGTTTAATCAACCCTCCATTGAGCTAAAGTTGCAGTGCCGCCACATTACTGATATACCTACTTTGCCATCAAGGTCTCGCTACTGATCTACAGATTTAACCCCAAGGCAGACAGTATTCGAGTAAATTGACTACCGAAATCCTCCAGCTATGGCCTGTTAAAGAATGACAAGAATTTCTGAACACACTTGAAACATTTGCTACCGTCACAGCTGTATCCGTATCATTGAATACCACCCTGCTCAGATCTTGCACCCAGCTGTCTGCTTGGCGTCACTCAAGGTAAAGCCAGATCCGCGAATCTCCGGAAAGGCATTGATATTGCGGCAGCTGGCCTCGAAGGTCGCAACCTGGTCACTACGGACAGGACAGGCCCAGGGGGTATTTTCATTCCTGCAGGGTATGCCAACAGCATGACAGGGGATGGGGCTGGTGTTGCAGCTCATGATGACGAAGTTGTTCTGGGCTGAGATGGCGGTCACCAGGGCGAGAGCGATGGCGGTGTATGTGAACTGCATTGTGCTGGATGAAGGGTTAGTTACTGATTGTATACATAGTGAATTGATTATCCAAGACCTACAATACTGTGGAGCTTGTGGGGTTTCTAGCAGACAAAGTTTGATAGTGTCCAAGTCCAGAGGAGGGTGTTTGATTGTTGGATACCAGCAGAACTCTGTGGGTTTCCTTGTTACTTAAATATCCATCGAGGCTACTATAGAATACTAACAACTCAGTTGTATAGAGCAGTAGCTGAGTATATTAGTCTAGATTCAGATAAGCATTATTTAGGTCCGCTAGCATCTGGGCTGCTCCAGGGCCGGAGGCCGGATGCATTGTCAAGCCACTCTGTTATCGTTGCACACTAGAGTACGTGTGCACCTACTTTGGCACCTTCTCTTGTCAGCATAATGCAATCTTTCTTGGTGATAGTGTTAAATTTCATATACCCCTGTTCGGCGTGCTTTTAGATGTAACATCATGCCTTGATCAGCGAGACGTTGTGAATATACCCCGAGCTGATATTGTTCGAAAATCCTTAACGACAATGCAGACTGATAGCACATCAGATGTGTATAAACCGCCATTGCGTCCTACCTATGGTCATTCGAAACATGGCAAATCATAGCTGGCGATTTTGTGGAATATGCTTGGGGAGTCATCATTGCTCGGCAACAGTCGGCTGCCCTGGATAGCCCATATCTATGGACTGAGACAAAGTAAGCTAATTGGAGCCTTGTTGTGATGGCTACCTGAGGTGCGCATGCCTGATTAGAAACTTGTCTGGGAAAATTCCGAATGCTCTTGTGCTTGGTAGTATTGGACCATCCAATGCGCGGATGGAATCTCTACGCTCCGAAATGGCGAAGGCTCTAACGGCCACATCGACAGGACTGGGGAAATCGAGGAAGAATCTTCATGGTAATGAAGGCTTGGATGATTACGTGTCGAGCATGGGAGGTATCAGACTGGGTTAAGATGAACGTGGATGTTTGTCTTTTGGATGGTTTCTCAATCAATAGTCAAGAAAATCACATCTGCTATATCATAGCTGTAAGATTGCGACTGAATAGAAAGTAAAGAGCTTTTCCAACAGTTGGCTGTCAGTTCGAATTCTTGTAACCTCATAGCTTCATCTTAGCCCACTACGTCATGGCTATACCTATAATCCTTTGTCTTCCCAACCAACTAAAACAATGATATTGCTCAGCCTTAGCTTCTGAGTGTCGGCAGCCGAGTGTATCGCAGAGTATGGCGTCTTGATGAAAGCCAGTTGCTAGATTTCCCATCCGTGTGACCCATGGAGCTACAACATTGCCATAGCAGGCCTGATAATTTGCCTGATATAGCTGACCTCAAGAATTCGTAGACCCTTTGAACTTCGGAGAAAGCAATATCTTGTGCACGAATATGTTCGCCATGGGGTTATGGAACTCCATCTTGAGCAGTCCTAGCTAGTTTTACGGCAGAAGTGGAATGGAGCTATGGTCTCATTGGCGAGAAAATGAAAAGTTGTCCCATGCTCCATTTCAGGACGGAGGGATAGGAATCCATTAATAGTGGCCGTTTGTACCTTGTGACTACTTGATCCAGATCTTCCAAGCTGACTCCGTCTCCAATATGTATAATATAGAGCTGGGGAACTGAGATATTGAAGGTAATAACTAGCGAACTCATCTTGTGTGTTTTTGGGTTAAACATGAATCATGATTCAGTATATGATATCCTACGATGTGTAGTTCATGGTCTACACTCACAGTAACATGTCCGGATTATGTTTGAGAAAAAATATAGATATGTCAATTCGATAACAAACAGGAACAGACAACCCAACAGTATTGAACCATACAGAGATTAAGCTAAGTTTCACCAATCCTAACTGTTACTAAACCTTCTCCCTAGCCAAGAGACTAGACCAGACAATCTCATATCTACTCAACAATGTCCAGATATCCCATGGCATTTTAGAACACCGTCGGTGCCAAGCTCCAACACACCATCTACAAACAATCAGTTAACACAACAGTCTGGTTTTTATTGCACAAAATACTCACCTAGGTTGAAACTCCTGAGACCCATTTTTACACCTGTAACACGGTCGGTATGGTCTTTGGGCTCGGGCACGTTCGCGCAGTGACAGAAAACGTTGTCGCCTTGTTCGTTTCTTTGGAAACGGCAGTTCCAACAATTCCCATTCCAACTAGCAAGTCCATTTCCACTAATATTGTCAGTTATTGCTGATTCCATATAGATAACGTGGGACATACTTCTTTTCTGCGGTAAACTTATGCGCTGTTTTATCCCAACCAAGGCATCTGTTCAGACACAAACCTGCCGTCACTTCACCAGCATCCCTGTTATTCTTGCACTCCGAGAACAAACTCTGTGCAGGTGCATATTGTTGGTTTCTTTGAGGCTGTGGACCGCGTATCTCTATCCAAGGGCACTGTTTTAAGATGTACTTTCTGTCGCGAGGGGAAGTGGGCATGCTTCGTTTTGCGGGAGTCATGTCGTTGCCCGCAGCCAATGCTATCAGGAACGAGGCAAAGACAAGCAACGGCCAGTACATTTTTGCAGTCCGCTTAACGAGAAAGGATAGAATTGTAGACAATGAACACGAAGAGAAAGGAGTGAAAAAATTAGGACCCTGTTGAATTCCAGTACTTTCTGGGGTCGAGGCACAGACAATTTATGTGAATTCCGCTGTCTCTGTGAAAGTAGACTGGGCCCACGCAGTTCAGAATGCCCCTGAGATCAGAAGTTAGCTTTTTCTGTCTTTCTTTATGGAGTTTGATTCTGTGCCACAGTGTAGAGATCAGCTCCACTAGTTGCTTTGCAATCAGTGCTGGTAAAGCGGCCTGAGCACCTGCCGCGAAACATGCTCTAAGAAATGGGGCACTCAGGGCAAACGGGATGGAAGCTTCAGCCTTCCCCATACCAAGACCGATCACTTTAGGCCGGTCCCCATAATTAAATCCATCACCTTAGATAATATCTCTTGGACCACTAGGGTGTATTCCTTGTCAAGTCTGAAAGGTGCAAGTTAAACCATATTTCGCAGCGCCCTGGAACAAAGCCTCCCATGGCAAATTGTATTCGACACTAAAGTTTGTATTAAAGGACCAAATGATGGACCTCGAATGAAGCATAACAGTTCCAGGCTGTAAGCCTGCAAAGGTGAATAGTCAAATGTCATTCAGCCGCTCTCCTTTATCCCCAGGATATCAGGCTGCAGATGAACATGATTTTGTCTTCAAACAGGCTCTCATATTTCAGCCTCTAGCTAAACAAGACAATCAACTCTCTCGCCTAGCCAGGTTTCTACATACTAGTAAATGACCGCAGACTGTGTAAAAGGAAGTGAGAAGCCACTAGACTAATCAAAACTATTTCACCACACACTATATCCCTACAGGCAGACCAAAAGTCCAGACTGTCTGTCTCCCGAGTCAAGTTTTGGTAATAAGCTCGAGCCCCGTGGACGTAACACGGTAACTCTGTCTTGTTTCACGATTAGACAAGCGAAGCTCCCGCATGTTGTTGTTAACGAACAGGCGAGTGGGCGCTTCCTCATGACGGATATTGAGCACCTCTCCTCCGTAGCCAGAAATAGGAAATGTCCAGTTTCTTGCTGTGTGAGATGTGCTGCCCTTGACATCCAGATTAAGTAGCTCGTTTCCATCGGCATCTAGAACCTGCAAGGCGGCGTACGTGTCATTGAAATAGTGATGAGCTACACCGTCCTTCAAAGCTACAGTCAGTTTCCTGCCAACTAGATCTAACTCTGCCGTCAGGAACTGCCAATCCCCGATGCCTTTGAATGCAGCCGTGAAGGAATTGCCGAGACCTTCGTTGGGTGCGTTATTGTCAGATGGTATGCAGTCGGAATATCTTTTCAGCAGATCGTCGCGTTGAGAGCCGGTAAACTGGCCGATGGCCAGCCAAATATCTACCTTGCTAGGACAATCGGCGTTTAACAGAGTAGGGTGACCCCGAAGTGCAGTTGCCGCTGCTTCTATCCGCGCTGACAAGGCAGCCAGCGGGTCGTTGTTGAGTGACTGGTTCTTGAGACCACTGGCGGTTATCTCGAAGGTATTCGTTTTTTGGGTGTGGTCGATCACTCCGTCAAAGTTTGGTCTCAGCTGAATACGGTGGCTGGGTTCCGCATGATAAACCTCGAGTGTATAGCCCGACTTGAAGGGTAGCTTGTCATTGCGTAGTGTTGCCCCGACACCTGGCATTGTGGCGCGAAACTGCTCTTGCCCACTGTTATCTTTGATAACCACTTCTGCGTATGTTTCATTACCAAAGTAGGAATGGGGGTCTTTGTTAGTCACAGCTACTTGCACGACATGATTTGCTTGGTCGACTAGTATGGTGCTGAACAAACTGTCCCCTAGGCCTAGCAGCCTGATCTCTTGGTTGGCTACCTGAGAGCCAGTTTGAGGGACAAAGTTCACTTGCACTTGAGCTGATCCAGGTTTGACAACAAGATAGTGTTGATCCACCTGATATTTACTGTTTCGCCCCAGCGGGAGACGCAAAGTATACACCCCGATAGGCAGAGCTCCAAGGGCTACATTCGCGGTCTCAATAGTAAGCTGGCGGACATAGCGGGAGCCGTCTAACACTGTAACGGTCTTCCCGTATATCTGGCTCAAGTCATCGATCTTGAGCTCAAGGGTGACATCGCCTTTGATCCCACTAGCGAGCATTTGTGACACGTGGACTAGTGTCAGAGGGCTTTGCAGCTTCAGCTGCCCTTGTAGCTTTGTCAATGTATCTCCATCCACAAGATGGTTAAGAGGATAAACGGCTCTGCCCTGACCGAACTGGTTGAGCTCACACTGCCCTGGCGAGATATACCCGCTGCATAGCTCCACGATTGGTGTCACATCGATGTGTCCAATGCGACGGAAGCTGTCAGAGAGCATATCAAGAAGCAAATGGTCAGTGGAATCGAAATTTGGCTGGTTGCTAACCAGGCGATATTGTTGGTTGAAATCGGCAAACGAGTCGACACCCGCCTTTTCCACCATCAACATTAAGAAGTACAGCTTTGCCCGAAGGTCCCAGTCATTGAGCGACTTGTGCGACGTGATATAATCCGTGATACCTTGCTCAACCTGGGCTTGCTTGCCATAGTTGTACAGCCAACCTTCCTCATACTTGCGGTCACCTAGATAGGCGCTCTGGTATAGAGCGGCATAAACATTGTTGGATACTTCCCCGTTCCAGAAGTATCGGTCATCGCGGAACGACATCTGATACCCGTGTCCGATCTCGTGCAGATTGCCCCAGTTGCTCGGAGACGGCAGCAGCCACCACTCTTTGATCGCATTCGTGGACGCTGCGGTCCAGCTCTGGCCGTAATATGCGCCACCAGCGCCGTGTTTATCAGCCTTCATGAAATAACGATTGGTAATGTTCAGGTCTGATGGACGCTCTGGCTCGAACGACAGCCCAGCCAATGCATTGTAAAACGAAAAAACTGATTCGTAGTATCCTATCAGCCCATCAATATTGTCCACCTCTTGCGGATGCCTCAGTGCCTCTTTATCAACCACGGGAACGAGGACTTGGGTGTAGCTGGAGTCAAGAAGTGCGAACTCCGACCCCTGATTATCCCAGTGATTGAAGAAGTCGGTCTGACTTTGTCCCTTGCGATAAACGGGTAGTTGCTTTGAACCGTCAGGATATTCATATTCAACCACCGGCGTCACAGCGGCCTCTGAGGTATCGGCGTACACCGTGTCGATGAATGGTACAGAGACAACGCTCACACTGAGCTCGGCCCAGTCGTTGCCCACTTTCTTGGAAGCCTCCGTATTCTGATCATCATTTAACAAGCGCAGAGTGAGCTCGCCAGTGAACGTGGCATTTGTTTGACGAGCCTTGATAGTTTGGCCAGCGCCAAGGACGATGCTGAGATGCTGGCGATCATGGTCAATACCTTTGCCCAGCCCTGCGGCATCGAGCCACTTTGGACGTGGGAGGACGGGGATGTGTTTGGTTTTGATAGCCATGATATGAAAACGGTGGTCCTCACAGAGCGTAAGGATTACCTCGATGACAAAAGGTATGACAAAAGCCTAGGAAATACGAGAAAAATCTTGATCTTTTTTGCAGGACTTTGAGTGGGTACTGACCCAATTAAATTGATCGACCTGGAAAGTTTTGATATCCGTCCCTCGTGGATACTTTGCTTGTTTATATCTATGACAGGACGTTTGGGGCCATGGTGCGTCACCTTTACACCCTATAAACCCCACATCTTCATATCATGTAATATAATTAATGTTTGCGAGGCTAGCTGAGCTCGCCCACAGCTTGAAATCAGCTTCTAACCCCGCATTTTCATTGTACGAATAGCAATTCGAACCAAATGCGCACGCCGCCAAAAGGGGAAGTTTTGGGCCCTGAGTTCAGCTCATCACAACGTAGCTATTGCCGTTCAGCTCTGGCTGCTATGCATGCATATGCGAGAGCTGCGGAGTGGAAAATGTAACCGACATAGGTTCTTTTCGTGATTGGCCAGGATAATCATCAGCTGGGTAGGGATGCATTTCGACAGCGGCTGGAAGCTCAGGAAACAACGAGATTCGTCGAAGACACATTAACTCAGAACTCAGAACCTGTTTTATGGATGACAGCTGTTTGGGGTAGCTCACATACTACTGTACAACCTACTTGGGTTATGTGGGGCGCGCAGCTCCGGTTGGAGATCCGTATGCACGTCGTGCCACGAAGGCTTCAGCTCTGTTGTCTTGTGGTAGATATATAGCGTAGCCACTATAACAAGAACTGGAGAATGTAACCCTTACAAGGGAATCTTGTTTGAATGGTGGGCCATTTGATAACAAGTCATCCTTCTGAGAGTTTGGCAGGAGTACTGCTAGGGCGACGGTGCCGAGTAAGAGAAAATAGCAAACTTAGACCTCGATATCAAGCGCTTCTAGATCGCTGGATCCAGGCTAGCTCAAGAATGTATATTGGTGAGCCTATCACAGCCCTTCATTATGGAGTAGATAAATACTACTTGCACCTTATGAAAGACAAATAAATGGGACGTAACAGTACAACTATCCTGGGAATGATCAATCCTAGTTCTGTCGGGCTAGGACAGGCGATCCTATTGCGTGATCATTTGTGTACAGGCGATGGACGAAGGGGTTGTAACTGTCAAATATATTCAAATAGTATACCAACTATCAAAAGCACATTAACTCCACCTGGTATCCTACCCTCCTGTGTCATAAGCATCAGTGATGTAGCTTTTGACACAGCTATCCTACACGAAAATACTCCAACTTTCCAAATCTCTCCTTTCCCCATCTCTGTAGGCCCTCATCCAAAGACTGGGTCAACCCTTCATCATACCGTAAGCCATCTTCAAGATAAGCGATTCTTTCAGTTCTCCAAACGACCCAGTTCTCTGCCAATACGGACTTTGGGTCCCGTAAGATACCAACCGCGACGTCTACTATTTCCGGGCGATCGCTACAAGTATAGAAGACCACGGCGCCACACGTCCCACAAAAGGTCCTCACCACTCCATCACTTGATGAATAACGTCTCGAAGTCCCTATAACTCGATCATCTGGAGGTGAAGGCGATATATGGTCCACCGGGACGAACATCCAGGCTGCGACATTCGCCCCAGTGACCAAGCGGCAGTCATCACATACGTCCAGTACACCTAGCCATTTGTCATCTTTCCCTTCCAGAACCCATTTACGATTCGCAGGATCCTGAAGGAAATCTCGACTAGGACGGGAGATGTTGAATGAGACCCCTCCACAGTGACATTCAGCCCGTAGAGATCCGTCTTCCGATTCCTGGACCTTCACATTTTCCTGTACGGGGGCCTTATCTTTCTGGTTCAATGAAGTTGAAATGGTAATTACACGACCCTTGATCCGAGGTACAAGCTTGAATAGCCCGGTATGAGTACTACCGTTGGCATGAATGTGTGAGTCTATTTTCCAGACACTTTCGTCTCCGCCGTGGTCGAAGATAGCGCTGGAGACCACCCAGCGGCCATCAGCGTGATCACGGTCACCAACGTGACAACCACATTTGCTACAAAAGAATCGAGTAGATGTGGACTGCGAGTGCGTATACGGTGTCAACTTGTCAAGGCCTGACGGTGAGATGAATTTGGGATGAACATCTCTGGGAAGCGGGGCATGGAAGCTACTGAGGGCTCCATGCGTATAGCGACACACAATACAGTGGCAAAGGTGAACGCTCAGTGGGAGAGCGTCACTCGGAAGGGTAATTGTGAAATGCACAGATCGACAGTGACAGGTTGCAGTAAGGATCTTGTATTCTCTTTCAGCAGCCATTTTTTGATGAGTATACTTGAGATGAATGGAGAGTGTGATGGAAACAATGATATGTACATATATGGGATGGAAACGAGGGGTACCAGCAGTCAGGTGATATCGGATTTATCTCGCTTCGGAGTGATTAATCTATAGCTCGTATTCAGTGTCTTGGGGCAGGTGAGGTGAAGGCTCGCGAGATACTAGGGCTAGGGGTTGGTCGACTGTTCTTCGAAACCTTCCCTCCTACGATAGCCTCAAATATAGCAAAATGAGGTAGTATTAAGCAGTTATATGCAAGCATCAGGCCAGCGATGTGACTCTGTCAAAAGTCTCAGGTTCGGGTATATGATTCAATTGGGTGTGAAACATGATGTTTCCGAGGGCTCCACTTTTACGGACTGTTGTTCGTATCAACGACAGATCGACAGATGGTCGTTGGTGAGATAAAAATAAACCTGTTCCTTCGAGATATTCTGTCTATGATCTGGTGTTGATCGTCATTTCCACTGTTCCACTCAGAGAGCCGCCTTCATATATCCTGACCCATAAGGTCTCGTATGGCAGAGCTTTTCATGTTCGCACCATGGACACATAATGGGTTAGTCGTGAGAAGGGTATGGGACGAAAATCTATAAAGAAAGCAAACTGGGCCAGAGTGTTGTAACTCGCTCCAAGTACTGAGAGTAAATCAATAGAAACGTCACACAATTTCGACTCAGTTCCTCATATATTTCCCACTTACTAGACGAATTCTCTCTTTATTGAACCATGAAATTCCATCTCTGGGCCGTTGCCCTTGCATCGGCACTCTGTGTCCAAGCCAACGAATGGCATGCCTATTACCGCCTCGACAGCAAAGCATACCAGACAAAGTTCGATCAAATGGTCTCGCAAGGCTATAGACTGAACTCAGTCAGCGGATATGAGTACAATAAGGAGGCCAACTTCGCCGTCATCTTCGAAAAGAGGTCCTCACCGGCTTGGAAGTCTCATCACGGCATGAGCTCCGACCAATACCACCAAAAGTTCGAAGACTATCTGAAACAAGGGTATCGCGTTGTCCAGGTCAATGGGTACACAATCGATGGGAAGGACCGCTACACTGCTATCTGGGAGAAAGACTCATCCTTGCCCTGGATCTCGCGCCATGGAATGAACAGAGAATGGATGCAAAAGTATTTCGACAAGTACTTGGAGGAGGGATACAGAATGACCCATGTGAGCGGGTATGAGGTTGACAATGAGAGTCGTTATGCTGCTGTTTGGGAAAAGCGGAATGATAATACTCCTTGGGTCTCTGCTGGGGAACTGAACTCCACTGCGTATCAGGCGACATTTGACAAGCATGTCAAGGATGGATATCGGCTTGTTGATGTGGACGGATACCAAGTCGGAGATGAGGTCCAGTATGCTGCAATCTGGGATAAATCTGCATCTGGTGCGTGGGTGGCAAGGCATGGTGTCGATTCTCCTACTTTTCAGGCTGAGTTCAACAAGTACCGTGATGAAGGCTATGTCTTGAGGACTTTCAGTGCCTACAACGATGGGACGGCGGATCGCTATGCTGCTATCTGGGTCAAATAACTTTAAGGTATCAAGCAGCAAGATATAAGTATTTGTGAGATTAGATGTACACACACCTTCGTGCTGGTATAGATCGCTGTTATTTTAAAACACTTGCTTCTTGCTATTCACCTGCAGCTATGACTGTAAGGTCTAGCAAGACATAACATGCAATATAGATCAGACCATGTTGTCTCAGAACTAGTAATCATGGTAATAGAATTCAGGATTAGACTCTCATTTGTTGCTTGTACACTGGCTACTTTCAGAATGCTAATCATTGGCCTACCAGTTGACACCATCCGCCCCACACATCTTCAATCATCGCCACTCCTACTACTACATTTCATCAAACAGTTGGTGTCGACCCTCCGTATGAATGGATCTATCATTGTTAGTATCCCATCCAAGTGATTATCGAGTAGATAGAGCCATCATACAGTTTGATCATAACACCCATCGGGTGTTTCATAGCCATAAGCCCCTGTGTTGATATACAGCTTATCCTCCTCACAAACATACCACGCTGCAGTATTCTGCCGATCAATATCCTCTACCGTCCAGGTGATCGCATCTCCTTGGAAGGCAAAAGTCCCGTATGCGTTCTCGGTTTCATTAAACCAAGTTTGTAAAGTTCGTTGTGTTTTGTTTGCGGGGTCCTCTACGTTCATGTACAGCTGCTCGTTGCCGGTATCGTAAACGAGCTGACCCGAGACGATATTGAATTGGCCCGCATTTGTGTTAGAAGCTAGATAGGCAGGTCCAGGTGTGGCGCTTGGGATGGTCTGGAGGTAACTGTGGTAATAGGGCGTTTCCACGGCACGGATAAAGTACCAGTCTGGTTGAAGTGTGGGCAGAGTTGAGGTAGCGGCAGTAGATGTCAAAGTTTGCGCAGATGCCTCGAGGGCGAGGAGGACACATGCTAACTTAGGAAACATTTTGTCTGTTTGTAAATGGCTTGGAAGCTTGGTTTGTTCAAACTACGCTGGAATATCACCTCGATTTATAAAACTGGGTTAGGGCTATTTGAATGACGGACCGGCAGATCGGTACGATAGCCGCGGAAATTTGCCATTCTTCCGTTCCGTGACAAAACAAGCAAGTCGCCATATGAAACTACTTACAAGTTTCATGTTGGTGATCATTGCTTAATTGTGCCTAGACCTGCTGCATGGATACCGCTTACAAGATGGAAATGCATGCGGATATCCAAAGTACACGTTTCCCTTTTATCCATTGCTCGGGTAAATAGCTAGCTTAATCTTAGTTCCCTGCATAGTACACTTTCATATAACATCCAGAAGCGATTATGAAGCAGCCTACGGTGCTCTGAGCAATCCTTCATGGTTTACTACCCAACTACCGTCCTGAGGAAAGCCGGGAGCGTCGCCCTGAGATCCTTCCCAGCCGGCAGCCATGTATGCCACTAAAATTATTAGTGTTATCACTATTTCGCGTTTGTATGTATAGTGCACCTACCAGCATAAAGTAGCCCAGCATTACCAGGCATGAAGGGAGGAGGGGTTCCTCCTATATTCGACGCTTGGATTAACAACAGCATTATTTCAGATTGTATCATGACTTACCATCTCCTCCACGCTCGGCAAACCCTAAAATAGACTCATTAGTGATTATGCTCAATACACACTATTAGATGACAACGCACCAGCATCATCAAAATTCCAATAATCATATGCGGTCAGGTGGTATATCGCTCGCTCGCGATCTCCCAGCCGTGCCGCATTGATTGCAAGTACCGGTCTACCCCATCCTCTAATCTTGTCGTCGGTCCACACTTCCCCTACCTTCTCTGCTGTGTTCGAAGCAACATCCGGGTCAACTGCTGGCGTGTTAGGGAGGATGCCTTGAAGCATGATCAGGCTCCGAGGGTCCCCTGTTAGAGAGCTATCATTCCACCATGAACTGTTCAGTCCTTCGTAAACAGCATACAAACCATCAATTTGCGGGAGTGGAGCGAGCCCTTCCGCAACTACTGTCCATTTATCGGGGACTGGCTGGTTAAGTTTCTTTTTCCACTCACGCGCGACGTCAAGCCCATACCTCCAGTAGGCGGTCTGAAAATATGTTAATATCAGTGATATACCGGCGTAGTTAGGCTATGCTAACCTCATATGCAAGATTGAGGCTTTCAGAAGGAGGTGTGTTCTCAGTCACACCATATGCCCTGAGAATGTTAGATAGGTAGATATTCTAGTGGGAATTGACATACGGTGGTCCCAGATCGTAATAGCCTGAGCTTGTATTCTTCCAGGCATAAGAGACCATGTAATCAGCTGTGGCTGTCAGAACGCGGTCCCATCTTTCAAGGGTTTTGCGTGTCGGGGATGCTTGATAAGCCAGAGCTGCCAGGTACATGGGATGAGGCTGCCTTTGTTAGTACAGTGTCCCCTTTCTGGCATATTAGGCTCACCTGTTGCCACAATAGAAGACCGTTGATACCACCGGGAGAGCTCACTCCGGTTTCAACATCAGTCATCTTTGGCCACCTGAAGGGTGTCAGTTCATGTGATGCGTTGGAAGAATTAGTGATAGCAGACCGTGCACCATCCCAACCCATAGACTTTGCCCGTGCGATTGATGATGGTAGTAATGCGTTGTATAATTCTGGGAAGATGTTGTCAAATTGTTCCTGTCGACCCCATGTCGCCCAGTGCGCGTTGTGCCATACTACCATTTCCATGTGAAACTTCCCTGGACGTACTATTAGCAACCAGGCACTCGACTGCAATAACCGATATATACTAACCGTACCACCCATTGTTCATCAGACCACTCTCCTGAGGTGACTGTCCCTTGGCTGCACTGTTCACCCGCACATGGTATTGTGATAGAAGGATACGGCGCTGGAGCTCGTCTGCTTTGGGGTTAGAGGAGGATGTTAGGTCGACAAATCCTCCTTGAGTCCAGTACTTGTTCCAAGCCGTGGAACTACGCTCCTGGATCATGGTTGGTAAATCAGCCGTTTGCTTCTCTCGCGAAAAGTTCGCCGTAAATGTCATAGTGGATGACGATTTGGATTTTAGAGTGTACTTGTGGGTTGCGTTATGTTCACGAGAAAGGCGCAGTGATTTTCCAGATCCCCATCGCAGATTAAGGTAGTAATTCGTCTCCTGCAGCTCGTGTCGAATATATGCCATGTTGCCTCTGTACTCCTCAATAGCAGTAGTATGACTCTGGGGGAAATCGTAGACACCAACGAACACTTCATATTTATACTTCGTAGAATGGATGGGCGGATATGGAAAGTCTAGCTCGACACCCAACTCACCAGATGCGACCAGACTCGACTCGATTTCAAAGACTACGGAGTCCGAATCGAAGTCACCTTGGGTCACCACCTTGACAGTTTGGCCGTCAACCTTAAAAGTCGAGGTAATGACTCCTTTCCATAAGTCGAGCTCTTGTCGTGGCTCTGTAATTTGAGACGCGGAGACAAGTGACCCTTTATACTGTAATCCTATGCGTCCTAGGTTTATGCGATTGGGATTGGCAGTGAGCCATTGTGAAACTTCAGGGAGGTCAGGGTCGGGGATATCGTATGACACGTTCCGTCCATGCGTTAGCATAGAGATTCCACGGTAATCCTCAATCTTCTCCCTGAAGAGACATCAGAAAAGATACACTAGCCAAAACACGAAGGTCAAGGCGAAAATTGACTTCTTGAAGGTCCACATACCCATTGCTTGGTAGAGAATCGTTATGCCAGCCCCAGCTGGACAGTGTGTTGAATGGGAGAAATGTCTGCTTGCTTTGTGAGTCACCGTATCAGAAGTTATGCGTCGAGGACTCCTACCTGTAAGCCTGTGTTATCAACGTTAAACGCAAAATTACCATTGCCCACTTGAAGAGGCGTCGTCTTGTTGGTGATCAGATTCGAGCGGACTACATTATATTTGGACACGATACGTTGTCTGCTCATTCAGTTCTAATACGACTATAGGTGAAATGAAGGTCGCAGTTAACTTACCGGTCAATGCTCCCCAGTGCAGGAGCTGATGCGAGGAGAAGTACAGATATGGCATTCAAAAGCATCGTGGTGGTATCATTATCTCTACAGCATCAGATATGATCTTGCATGCTCGGAAGCCCGTGTTTTTATATCCTCGGGATAATGGTACCCGAAAGCTGGGGTTGATGATATACCCCGCAAAATTACTACGATTCTCAGATCAATTTTTGCACCAATGACTGGACTATAATATTTTTCATTAGCCTTGACAGCTTCTTGGCATGTAAAGAGATATAGTCACCACATCACTAGTTCAAGCATCTAAGAACGTATGTGAGATGGAATAGCCTAGTAATCCCATGCTAGATGGGAATATACACTATATGATCACTCACTAAGGTCCATACACAAAAGCTTTTCAACTGCAGTCGTCGCCAGCAATCTCTATCGGTGTCCTCTAGGTGCTGGAGTTGTTGCAGCCGAGACTTCACGTATAAATTCTATTGCTAGTGGATGGGTTGGAATGTTCTTGCGGTTCATCTGGACGTGATTTAACCTTTTGCTATAGTCCTTATAGAATGGGGATATGATTCGTGTCGAGGGAGAATGATGAAACGAGATAAAGCTTCAGAATCGGAAAAAGCCGCTGTGAGAAAGCTTTCGTATTTATTTATTACGATCAACTGTATCCCTATTTCCAAAGAAAAGAATTACGTTGTACTCAGTCATAAAAATTTCCATCTTGAACTAGGTATTTATGCCGTCGGTGTTGTAGTTATACATTATAATTCAATCAAATTGCCTATTTCAAACCCACAAATCCAAGTGTATAGCTCGAGGCTATGCCGGTGTCCACTGTGAGCTATCTGGGTAGAGCTTGGAATCTCCGACTAGCTCTTTCATAGAGTGGGAAAGTTGATCGCAACGCTCTATGAGAGCGAGCCGTGACGGAGATTTGTTGGATCAGGCATTCGACTCAGACTGGTGAGCAGGATAGTCAATTGTGAAAAAGAATGAAAAACCCATGTCGAAATTGTGCAGACATAATGGGGCTTCATAGGGCTTGTGGCTTAGAAAGGCAGACATATGAGCGTGTCTCAAGACGATGCTTTACTCCGCGTCTGTTACCACGTCCTTCCAAGCAGTCGGTTCACTGTGTAGAGTCCTGGAGGAGTTTATATGTAAGGATTTATTTCTGGACTTCAATAACCCATTGCAGGCGAAATGTTGGCTGGTCAGACATTATGTATCGATTATCTTCCTGTACTTTGAGAGCCAAGCTGCAGCGAGCTCTTGTCAGTGTCTCGATATCTATCCAGATCTGTCGAAAAGACATCTCATTATGAACAAATCTCTCAATCCAGTCTTCAGTCTTGTTAATACCAGAATCTTGACCTCCAAAATGCACACCTGTAATTAAACAGCCTTGATGGGTCAGCAATTCAACCATTCTCCGACCGATCCGGACTTGTCCAGCCCAGTCCCAAAGATGCATGAAAAGGCCGGAATTGATGATTTCGATATTGCCTATCATTTCTCGTAACAGCGGTGTGTCCTGTAAGAAGTCTTGCACAATAAACCTTGCCTTCAATGTGTCACCGTCCATAAACAAGTCGTACCCTAATTCGACAGCCTCTTTGCGAAGGTCCAACCCTACCAGGTTTTCGGGTGGTGCACCGTCATGTGCTAGTCGCCTGATATCCTGACCGAGTCCGCAGCCTAGGTCTATGAACAACGCTCCTTGCTTAATTGTATTGACGAATCTCGCGTACACAAGTGACTGCGACAGTTCTAGATCGAGGAAGGTGACCAGCCGGAAACATGGGTAATGTGTGATTTCCCAGCCTTGTTTCGCCTTAGGGGACAGAAAGGATGTCCATGTTAGCGCAGTTCATGTGCATATGGAACCTGGGGCCCAGGCACTTATAACTTTTGCCACCTGGTGATCAACTTCAGTGGGACAGATTCCAGAATAAATCTCCAAGAGCTCTTTTGCATCCGGCCCTATAACATCACCTATCTTTAGCTCCGCTTCCCACTGGCCAACACTGGTGTAATTGGTTGCCATGGTATCAATCTATTGAATATTGCCGACTGGAGACAGTATTTGGAGATATTAATTAAATGCACAACCGGGAGATACGAAATGGTGCATATATATACGGTATACCGTAGCCGAAACCTGGCAGGCTGATGTATTAAGTTTGTGGGGCTGTGCCCACGAGCTGACAAGAATAAATGGAGGACTACTGTGGTATTCTATTGCAGGCAGCTTATATTTATGATTGCATCTTCGCTTAATGTAAATGTTATAGGTGTGACACACGCGGGGACCCTAGGCTATCCTGTGCGGTACCGTGAAAGGTATCTCACGGGTAATATTGGTCTTTTAATACATGGCCTTGTATCACCTAGATTAGGTGCTTTGCAGCAAGATGCTTCAAGCTTTCGTTACAATGAGGCATAAAGAAGTGTTTTGTTGGTTGCCCATGCTTCGAGAAGACTTTATGACGTGTCAAGCAAGAAAAGAAAGGCTTTTAACCGGTAACTGAGCTGATAAGCTTCTCCTACCCCTGGGCATAGTCGCTTTTACTGGCCATAGGATGTGGGGCTTGTATTCGCCAAGTGGCGATCAAACCACGGTGGCATGTTGATTCCGTCTCTCAATACGGAGTACTTCGCAGTTTGACGGCTTCTACGGATTTCGACCTTTGAAGATGTCGAAAACCATTCTTGACGTGGTCAAGGGATGCGACAAGTATGCCATAAGGATATCTCTTCCCGTCATATGCCTACAAGTGCTGATGTTCTTCATAGTTTTGTTTCAAACGATGAATCTGCATCCCAGTCAGAGAATCTGGGACAATGCTACACCTTTAGAGTGAATGGCTGCTGTGCCATACTGGGGTATATTCTCCCCGAGGTTGTTGAAAAAGTCCAGTGGTCTGACTGGTGGTCTATTGATCACCACCGATGCATTGTGACTTTAGCGACGCCGGCTACAGCAACCACCGATATGCGCTCTCACATAGTTGAGGAAACTCTCAAGAACACCAGAAAGCTAGCTGTCATATCGATGCTCGAAAGCTGGCGAGACGAAACCTTCCCGATTTATGGTCCAGGGGGAGAAACTTTGCTCGAAATAGAACGTTGTGCAAGTGCATTATTTGGGATTGTGACATACGGTGTCCAGCTTGTTTGCTATGTGAGGGACGAGCAAGGCCTGAGACTATGGATCGGCAAGAGATCGGAACGCAAACAAACTTACCCGGGTATGCTCGATACAACCGCAGCTGGCGGTCTCGTTGCTGGAAAGCTCCCGATTGAAGCTCTTATATGCGAAGCACAAGAAGAAGCGTCGTTGTCCGAAGTGATGGTGAGGAAGAAGGTCATACCCATGAGTAACCTCACTTATTTCCACATCCGTGGGAACAAGGCTGGAGGGGAGATCGGCCTATTTCAGCCAGAGGTAGAGTATACATACGAACTGGAGTTAGATCCCGGCATGGCCCCTGAGCCAAGGGACTCCGAAGTGGAGAGTTTCAGTCTATACACTATCGAAGGAGTGCTTTGTGCTTTGAAAGAGGGACTGTTCAAGCCAAATAGCGCTATTGTTATTGTTGAATTCCTCATTTCGCATGGCATCCTCCGCGCTGACAACGAGCCGGGCTACGCTGAAATTTTGTCGCACTTACATCGTGAGCTTGAATTGCCTCTCCTAATTTTGCCCTCTAAATGAAACTATCCTTGTTTATAGACATTTTGAGTAATTCAACAACGACAAATCTATGACTTTTCAGGCCTTATATTTATGTCAAGTACGGGGTATTAGTCTTGTAACAGCAAGTCTTTTGCAGGGGTCAAACAGCTCTAACATCTTCCCAATATTCCTAATTACTAGAGACAAGGGTCTGCCACACGCCATCATGTTCTAAGGCACCCATATCATCTCTGCGTAGCATGACCATTATCTCAAGCATTTCCTCGGACAAATTCCTCTGCCGCGGAAGAATAATAGCCACTCCATCTGCCTCCATGTAGGGAAATCTAACGAGCTTCGGCTTCCCGAGCATAGCACCAAAGTCCATAGCATAAACGTCGAGATCAGCCCAGCTTGTGATGGTGAGATCACGCGATCCAAACAGATCCCAACCTACGAAAAGAGACCTATAATCTTGCATACGATCTGCTAAACCGTAGACCTCGGCGATTTGACGCGAGCCGATCTTCGAGGGTGATTGTGACGCGGAAATGTAGTCACAGACTCCGGCAAGCGAGCGCATTGCGTCCTCATCGGTTGTGGCCAAGGCTCCAACAGCAAGGTTTGTCAGGGAGTAAAGCACAGCATTTCCGAAATATGGATTCTCAGGCACCGAAAACGTCTCGCTAATGCGCTGCCGACCATTGACCGCTGTGACTAGTCGACTCGTTTCGCTTGCAAGACCTGGATTGCGGTTGGCTCGAACACGAGTAATTGTGGTCCAGATTAGTGCGCAGAGCAGGACATTTGTAGTTGGTGCATTCGATGTATATTCTCGTAGAGTCTCCTTAAGGGCATTGATCCGGTCAACCGGAATGGCGAACAGCTTAGATGTGGATGGAGCGAACTCTTTTGGCATCGTGGGTGGCACTTTGGAGTATTCAGGGTGTAGTGCCAAGAGACTTTCAGACGACAGAGATGAGATATCCTCAAGAGCCGGAGAAAGTGCTTTTGAAAGACGCTCCAGTCTAGTTTGGTGTGAACCAGAGAACTCAAACCCAGTTTCAGCAACGTTTCGAGCCCACAGTTCTACAACTTCTGAAAGTCCAGTTGCATCGACGGCGTGGTGGTGTAAGCAGACACACAAGCCCACGCCTTGATCTGCGAAGCCAAAGAGGCTTGCGGCGAACACAGGGGCGCCTGTTTCACTGATGCCATCATCGACCATGCTTGGCACTGGCCAGATCTCTGATGGAATGGCTTCCATAGACATCCCATGAGAAGACAAAGTCGTGTATGGTGCCGCTATGGAGCCTTTGTCGACCAGAGTTGGTGTGTGGCCGGCATTAGATCGGATCTCAACGGAAGCTTTGTGTTGGATAGAAGTAGTCGGGAAGACTCGTCCAGAGAGCCAAGGCAATTGTGTCGAGAGCTTATCAAGACCACTTTGGAGGCTTTGTGTGAGTTCTGGGGTTGGAATTGTCGTTTCGAAAGCCAAAAGAACCCTGATATAGGTTCTCGGCATAAGCAAGTCCAGGGGACTCAGCTGCTTGACATATGTATGATGGGCCATGTTTTTTAAGGATTTGGAGATAATTGAAAACTTGAAAAGAAAGATAGAGAACAAGGTAGTAGAAGGGCTGATGTAGAGCTATAAGGAGTCGAGGAAGATTGATTGACTTGCATCCCGGGCTGTCGGGCCCACGGGCCCGCGGGTCCGGCCAGCCGACTGCCCGCCAGCTGCAAAACGCTTCGAGACAGCCAATATATTAGAGGTACTTGTATGGAGGTGGATTCCAAAAGCAATCAAACTCACGCTAATAATACGAGTCGCAGGAAAAATAAAAATTTTACCAAGGTGGCGAATAGATATCCGTAGCATCGATTACCCTGGGAGACATTTGAGGACATCGTGATGAGATATATATTTGACAGGATTGAATGTTTCCCCCTAGTTTTCTTGATCATATTACAGACAGTGTCAACTACCAGTATGATTTCTTGAGTATTCCCAGTTCTAGATAGGTTTTCGACATATGATAAACAGTTACCATGGAGCATGGCTCTTTTATTGCTGCGTGAACTCCAAAGGTCTTGAGATTCAAGACCCTTTCCCGCCCTCTCAAAGTCATACTGTCAAACACTTAAGGCTTCATTTAGAATAATAAAAACAACAAAGAAAAGAACTCAAATAGAAAATAATAAATGGAAACAATCTAGATACACACAAACTACGGTAAATCACTGTAAAGCACAGGAATCAGGATCAGGCGGCCAGGCGGTCATACCCTGACACTATATCTGTATAGGAGAGTATGGCCTGGTCTTTGGAAGTACATACACTGATTCGGTATCATAACAAGAGAAGACTCTATATTATATTTCGTAGCGGAGGTATTGGTTATTTGCTTGTAGCAAGGGTCTGAAGTATCTCAATCCTCAGTGAGATAGTATATGTTCCAATTAAATAGTTATTGTTTATTGAGACTCATGTTTCGGATAGTTCGTAGTGGGTGAAACAGTTTCGTCACGATACTTGGTGTTCAATACGCAGGGTATCAACTAGATCTACAAGGAGTCTAGCGTCAGAATTAGGCCAGTAAAGACGGCACGAAATGGACATTTCACAACAATACGCAAGACAGTACGGAGTTGTATTTATCGATCGTATTAAACTCATGACACGGGCACGTGATGCTTGGGACCCTGATTGAAAAGGGTCCATTTCTATCCTCCGATGTCTAGGCTGCGCATAGTGTAAACTAGATACCTAAATTGCGACTCGCCCCATAGGAGGCCAAGTGTCCACTTGAATGGATTCGCAAGCGCTGCGCCTCGGGTGAAATGGACGCGTGATCGGGTACTAGTCGCAGGCGTTGATCTCACCCAGTGGTCGTCGCTAATGATATGAACGATAAGGCCAAGGTGACGACGGATCAGCCACACGCGGCCCCTGCGCAAAGAGATTAATCCCCATTGTTTGCTGCATGCGGGGATCCCCGAACACTGACAACCACGCACGATGAAAACGACCCTTTACTGCCACGGCTCGCGAGAGCGTCTTGATATCGGCGCCCATGACTGACGCGGTGATCGGCTCGCTTTGCGAGCGATTTACAACTCGACTGAAGGAAAATTCCTCCGTCAACTATAACCGGCATCGGTTCTTCCGCAATGGCACCGTGAGAAAGGTCTTTGAAAGCAACCAGCAAGACCTGCGAGAACTGCTGCGATGTCTGTGTCAGGCTAATGGCACTCCCCTCACACACGTACCGGACATTCTACGAAGAACGTTAACAGACCTGAGCTTGATTTTTGCAATCCTATTATTCGCCCGCGGGCGCCAGGAAAGAGATGTTTTGCGACAGTTCGTGGATTTCGCACTTGAGGCAGGCGCTGACCATGTCGCTCCACGTCAGTTCACCGATGCAGACCTCCCTATCTCCCTCGAGATGGCGACCAGCCATTTTCCCTTACAAGGAGTCGAATTTTACCACAAACAATTTCGGTTCTGCGCCGTTACGCTGATGAAGCGCGAAGAAGTCGTATACGAGCAACATCGATTCCAGTGCCCACTGCCGTATCTCGAGGAGACAAAGATCGGGGAAGGCGCTTTCGGTCAGGTGTGGAGGGTACGGATTGAAGAACAACATTTCCAGTCACGATCCGATCGTACAACCACCACCGAAGCATTGGAGCTTGCGCGAAAAGACTTTCAGTTAGATCGAGAGGGTAGAGGGGAGCAACAGATTCTGAACAAGATCCTGGACCAGCCACGTCGACACAAGAATATAATGGTGGCGCTGGCGAGTTTGCAATATGGACCCACGTATAGTTTGTTCTTTCCACTCGCATCCTGCAACTTATGGGAATACCTGAACGGGGTTTACTCTGAAGATCGCTTTCCTCCGTCTACGTGGGAAGAAAAGAAGGACATCTACTCGCGTGGGGTAACGTTAGCCGGAGCACTGGCGTTCCTTCACCATGAATTTCGCGATCAAAAACTGGAGGTATTTTCATGTTACCATCTTGATCTGAAGCCCCACAATATACTTGTCTTCGATGCGTATAGCCCGTCCGAGACTTGGAAAATTACGGATTTCGGACTATCGCGTGTCAAGGGTAGAGGGCTAGATGGTGAAGCAGATGTGGAGCTCGTGATGCCTATAATGGGGAGAGGCCATAAGAGACCGAGGCGACTCCAGGAGCCATCGACGTTGAATCGAAGAGGCGAAGGTACTTACCTTGCCCCGGAATGTTCATTACCTAGTGGCCGGGTCAGCTCTGCCAGCGATGTTTGGTCGCTCGGCTGCATCATCAGTCTGGTGATGTCTTATATTGATTCGGGATATAGCGGCGTGGTGGCATTTGCGAGGCAACGGCGCAGACAGGACCACGGGGACAAATTCTATACAATCCGACATGGGAAGCCAAAGCTTTCACCGGTAGTCATTGCGTGGTACGAGAAGCTAAAGCACAGAGCTCGAGCAAGCTCGTTTGCGATGGAGCACGAGATCGTATACCGAACACTCGACTTTCTGCAGAAGTATGTGCTGCATCCTATTCGGGATCAACGCGTTACTTCGAGAGAGGTGGAGGATACTCTAGCGTCAATAAGCGGTGTATTTCATCGAAGATCATCGGAAACACGGAGCAGGTGGCGGCTGCGACGACCTTCATTCTCTTCAGCCTATACTCCTAGCTATGAGAAACTCCGTATTGAGACAAGCATGCCCATTCTTGGAACCGCGTTTGCACCGGGCGGCGATGTTTTGCTGTTCCAATCTCAGCAGAAAGTGCAGGTGTTTTTCCTCGACGAAATCCTGTCCTCTGTAGAGCGGCTCCCGAAACCGCGAGTGATAAATATTCCTAGGGCATCCTTGGAATGCGTTGCGAGTAGCTCGGGCTTTCTCTGTGCCTGCCTCGCTACGACATGCTTCGAGGTACTTAGCCATTCCTCGATATCTACAACGTGGGATCGCGATAGCTAACTTCTTAGTGCATCTTCTATGAAACCACCATCTCATCCGAGTCGCAAGGAAATAGCATCCTCCAGGGTTCAAGAATCCACTATCCGCACATGGGCTCTATCAAAAAGGTTGCCATGTCCGCCGATGGGCTTCTAACAGCATTCATCGTCACGCGAAACCCCGGAGACTCTGACTCAGATGCTCTCTTATATCTGTCAACTACACAGAATCTCCTGAACAATGCAAGCGAAGGGTAATTCCAACTGCTACTTGGATACGGCGTTCTATTCTAATCTGAGGCAGAAATAGCTCACCTCCATCAAGCCGATCAAACTCTGCGGCATCCTACCAAGATTCCGATAGCATCACTAGTGGCAGAAATATCATCTTGCGTGACTCGATGGTCGGCCCAGCGACGCAAATCCGCTCATTAAAATTCTCTAACGATAATCACTACCTGATCATGGTTTCCCAGGTAGATCCTGTACATCTTTTGGTTCGCGCATGGGACACATACAGTGGTATCTCCTGCGCAAATTTGAAAATAGGGTTTCAGGTACGTCTACATGTCGTTCTCCCCTTCGGAAAGCCGCGACTAACTGTCAAAATCTCACATACAGGGGGCAGCTTCTGTGGATGAACCTCTCTACACTGCATGTTCTGTTTTCAATCGAGAACCACAGCTGTTTATACTGTGTCAACGCAAATACCTTCTCCACCTCAGCTCCTGGCGTTGGGATCGCCAGGTTCACACGCTCCCTAACCAGGCGGTCAACGTATTCGTGCGTGATGATGACGAGGCCCTGATTATACTAGGTGATAATGGGAGCGATCGTCGGCTTCGCACCTATGTCTTGCCGATCCCCATTTCGGGCAGGCCCGAACCAGCAAAAGTAGCGCTCAGTAACCTGAACCAGTATCGGCCAGCTCTAGATAGCGCCGTACTGACACGCACAACAAGGGGACAGATTGTGTTGGTAGTGGCCACCGCAAGGGGCGAATTCCTGGCTGTGAAGCTTCCAGACGGAACCTGAGACTCGCTCTCATACAAAGCGTTTGTACCTTTATATACTAAATGACGTGTTGCATTCAAACCACCAGATAACCGCATGCTTGTGTTTCTAATAATGCACGCCAATCCGACCCGAGGCAGATGTTGCACAACACTTTAAGCCAGCGACCCAGCCTTGCTGTTCGCATGCTTCTGCTGACGTTGGCTCCGAACCCACCAGTACAGCACTGTCACAGCCGTCAGGGGCACGGCGCACACTACGAATATCCAAAACTGTGGAGACACAATGAGATTATGGGTTTGAGAATCCATCTCGAAGAATGAGTTCATTCCGAGGAGGGTCTGCATCAAGAAACTATGTCAGCGATACGGCTGTATTACCAACACGAGCTGATCTGCAAGGGGAAGCATACTGCCATAAAAGTGGATGGTAGATAAATGAGGGTTACAACAGTGATAACTCGGACTGTTGACGAGTCGTCAACGGTGGATGAAGTGAGGCTCAACATATAGTCCGATTGCTGCTGTGCCGTATAGGAATTGTTGAATGAAAGGTTGTCTGCGATTAACTGGGCCGTGGTGGTAGCCCAACTTTGAAGAAATGATGCAGCCTGTAGGTAGGCATCCGCATGGCTTTCATAGTTATCTAGTAACTGATCCATTTTGTGCCATGATAGATGCAGCAAGGCACCGCAATCCCTTAATGCATTATTTGCCTTATGCAAGGTCTGTACTGTTTTGTCAAAGGAGCGAAAGACAGCTTGCAGAGGCAGGCACCGAGATTCTATGGCGCGAATGGAGGCCCACATGTTATGATTGACCCTGAGTGGTTCTTGGATGTGTTGTGTCACGGTTGTGTTGTACTGAGCGAGCTGGTTAGCATCACCTTTAGTAAATAGCAGTATTCTTGACATACAATCGTCAAAGCCCTGTCCTCTTGCGAACCTAGATATTCCCTCCAGTTGGGGAAGAACGTAGCGAAGAGAAGATTGTGGATTAGCAGTGGGTGTTGTGTTAACTGAGCACACTGGAGCGGACACATAAGTATCTCCATCAGCCGTTGCTGAAACAGGCAGTCTTTGGTCGGGTTTAAAAATATCCATGTGGAATGCTTCGTCGCTGTATGAAACTTCTGATAGACACCTGTTTGTCGCACTGTCCATGAGTCCGGTCTATCGTTGTTGGCTTTTTTAAAGGGGTACTTGAATATATACGCGATCTCTAATGTATGGGCATTAGCCCCTATGCTGCAGTAAGGTCTCATAAGTAGGGGTTGTAAACTCACCTATACTTTGCTCATTCCGAATAAATGCGGGTGCGCTGCTAAAAGCCGCTTCCGTAGCCATAAACTTGTCGTGGAAAGACAACGAGAGATTGTGCAGTACATGCGAAGAGCTAGTCAAGTTTCCAATCTCCTCGAACATCTCCTTGGTGACGTTTAAGGGTCGCCATGAGTTCCCTTGATTGATAGATCTGCAATCTCATTAAACTCGGTGCTTTGATGTAGCCAGCATAATCGATGACCTACATAAAACACAATCCATTTGGCGCCGTAGAGGCCTTCTTTCTGTGTGCTTGTAGCTCAGCCAATGATGTGAATGTTCTTCTTGTTACTGCTCCCTGATGGTTAGCCTGAGCATCAATTCGTAGGCTAACCTATGTACACGAACCCTGGTGTTCTGCATCGCTATCAGTCCACTCGACCTGAACTTTCGATTCATCATCCTGAAAGCACTTGCGAGACTTTGCTACATGCCAGAGATCATCTGCGTATGGGACCAGACTGAAAGGGTCCAATAGGTGGGGTAGAGAAGTCTGAACATCTTGGGTATGTGCAATCATCGTGATGGCTGAACAATCAGATCTACCACAAACGAAACTGAAGTAATATTCTCTTGAATCTTGAAAACTAGAAGGGCCCAGAACATGGTGTTTATATTATGGTACCCATTGTCACGCAATAACACAGGTGATTAAAAAACTCAGCAACACGATGGCCAAGCGCCCTGCGCCGCCAATCCTTGCTCAAAGAAGGCCAAGCGCTTTCTTCCAGAACTCTCACTCCCACCAGCCACTGCCACTTCAGCCTGACCACTCAGGGGGAGCAGGGTCAATCAGACGCTTCCCTGGATCCGGTAACGTGTCATCAGTCAGCTATTTAGCACAGCCTCGGGCTCATTTTGCAGTCCGGAGAACGCCTACCTGAGCTCCTGCTACTCGATGTCAGCCACAGACCCAACAAAAAAGCTTCTAGGAAAGTGGAACTGGAACTTACTCGGGTCACCTCTCGTGGTGCGTCAAAGGACCAAACCTCGTCATCGATCTTTGCACAACTTAAGATTACCAGATGGCTTTTTGAATATCTTCGGGAATTCTTACTCGAATGTGAAAGTTCAGCCCTGGGTGATCAGGAAACAATCGTTCCAGCAGGGCTTGGAGACTTTCACGTCGTAGATAATTGCTGGGTGCATCTTGTCGCCGCATCTCTGGTGGAGGGGAGGGGGTTGATGTACTTGATTGAGGGAATGTAGGTGTCCAAGAGAGTCTTTTGAACATATTCAGTCTACTGTGGCTCCAAGTACTATCGATATGGGAGAGGAATACGCTCACAGGATGCTTAAGCGTGCTAAGGTTGGATGGAGGAAGGAGTCGGTCCTGCGATAATTTGGCTGGGTTCACAACATCCCGCGTGGTATACGAGGCTAACAGCAGATTTAATGGTGGGTGACAGCCTGGGGCTCTGCTGGGTGCTCGATAGGGTAATGATTTCTATTACTGATTTTTGTTTGTTGTGGCGAGCCTGTCATCTCGGTTGTTATCGGGATAGGAAGATGTTTGCGATCCAAGCAGTGCTGTGGTTGGTGGCCCTTCACACTGAACAGGTGTATTTTGTTGCACGGTTCTCCAGTCCAATCAGTAATTCCGAGGCTTATCAACACCCCCGCAGAAACTGTGCTTCTCAGCCTCGTGGGCGCGGGTTCCCCTCAGGCCTCGTATTTGGCTATCCGTAGCGTCGCACTATAATCCCCGGAGCACGCACCAGCCCTCATGCATGATCCCTCGAGCTCACCCTCAACTCCCTGTGGCTTTCGTCGCTCTCTTTGCCATGGTATAGCCACTTTATTCTCTATTTACATCATGCCACTTGGGACTTAAGGCTGAGGTTGCGACAACATGGCTCCTCACGGCAGTGCAGATCACGATGGGCTGGATATGAGCCAAATCGATTGGTTTCCGCAAATGCTTGCTGTGCCTTCACTCGGCACATCGCCTGGGACGTCAGAGCCGCGACGGTCGGAAACACATCTACAACCTTCACTCAGCTCAATATCCTTCAGACAACCGGAGAGTGTAACAGTAGTTGTGGATCCACGCGATGGCGCAGGGTCCGATCAGGTATTCCTGGATGAGAAGGATCGGACCGTGAAGTAAGGGGTTACCTAAACACGAGTTGATGTGCATGTTCAGGGAGCTATTGGCTAACCTTGCTGCCACATTCTAGTCGACGACTACGTGGGTTCCATGTGTTTGTGAGTAATTGGCCGTAATTTGAAATAAACTTACTAACTGATTGTTTTTCTCACTAGATGATTACCATTAGCGGCGTCCTCGGCGTTGGGCTTTATCTACGAAGTGGATCTATACTGCGGATCGGTGGGCCGGCAGCGGTCCTGATATCGTTTTCAGCCATGGGCTTGCTAGCCTGGTTGGTCATGCAATGCATCGGAGAGTTCCTCGCGATATGGCCTGTCGCCGGAGCGCTCGTGGAGTTCGTCGGGACATTCGTTGATGAAGACCTGGGCACTACAGTTGGTATTGCATATTGGTGGGTCTCATTGCCTGGGCTGAGTAAGGCTGTTTCGCAAACGTGCAGCTAACGGCCATCCTATACAGGGTATCTTATTGTTTGAACTTTGCTGCGATGATTGTGGCTGCTGCGGGCGAGGTTGAATTCTGGAACACAAGCAAGGCGATACAGGGCACTGTCATTCTGTTCATAGTGCCCCTGTTCCTGGTGCTGCTTAATAGCTTTGGCGTACAGGTATGTCCCTCAGCCCCTTCATGCACTGAATATTTATAACCATTGGATTTAGGTATATGGTTTGACTGAGGTAATTGGAGGCTCTCTGAAGATCCTTGGGGCCATTGTTGTTACTGTGTCAATGATTGTGATTAACGTTGGAGGTAAGAGCACGTGTTCCGAGAATACCCTATTTCTGACAGTATACAGGTGGAAATGAAGAACACATTGGTACTAAATGTGAGTCGTCCCGCCAATACCTTCTTGTTTTGAGTTCTCACTTGCTTGTAGATTATCGCGACTCGTCTATATTCCAGTATGATGAGAGAGCGGCGGGAAACTGGGCGACCGCGTTGTTGTACGCCACCCTCAATACTTGAAATATGATCAATTGGAGTACTAACAGTATGCAGCATCTCTCTTTCCATTGCAGCATTCTCCTTCATAGGTGTCGACATTGCAGCCGCCACGGCACTCGAAGCACGTCCTGACAACAAGCGGATCTCGGCGGAGGACCCTCTAAATGAAGAACTGAAACAGCCATGGCCATTCATATCCGTTCGCTTTTCTGCCACCTGGACAAGTTTCATTGCGTGGATCGCCTATTTCGTTGCCGGTTTTGTGATGACCTTGAATATACCTTGGGACTCTGATGAATTACCGCAAGCTGGATGGCTGGGTCACCCCGGCCCAAAGACCGACAGGCCAAGTGATTCTGGCTTTGTGATCAGCGCGAAGAGATCTGGGATCAAAGGGCTGGCAGATCTTTTCAATGTCATTCTGCTATTCACTGCCCTGACCTGCGCCAATACAAACCTGTATGTCGCGTCCCGAACGCTCTTTGGTTTGACTCGAAAGATATACGGGAAGCAGTGGCGGTGGCTGGCATTCTTCGGGAAGACGAACAGCTACCAGGTTCCAGTTCGGGCCATGTTTCTCTCGTGCTGCTTCCTGTGGGTGCCGTTTCTATACCTGTCGCCGAATAATGCGAAGGGGACCACTATCGCTAGTGTAAGTACAGTGTTACTCGAACTATTGATACATCGTGAGCAGAGTATGTGTTAACAGCTATCAGCTCCTCGAGGTATTATCCCAACTCGGCTCAGTCAGCTGCCTCATTGTCTGGGCTTGTGAATGTTGGGCTTTTATACGCTTCTATAATTGGTGAGTGATCACTATTTCGTTTGATCAACATTAATATTCTTTTTGTAAATACAAGCGTTACTAACTGTATACAGCATGAAGGTACACCAAGTCGAGCTCCATAATTCCCCTCAATTCGCACATGTCTGCCGCTTCCGTCGTCCCGGCGCCCCAGACTATTATCCCTGGCGCTCCCACGGCCAACCGGTCACAATGTATCTCGCCTTAGGGGGTTGTCTCTTTACGCTCATTGTTGCCGATGGAGCAGCATTGTGGCATGGCTTCCATGCGTCCCTATTTCTCTCGGCGTATCTAGCGGTAAGTCCTGTCAGAGCAGACGGTATCTATGTTCTATGAAGGTCTAGGTGCTAACGAATGACAACATAGCCTCTGTGCTTCATTCCATTATGGTTCATCATCAAAGCATACCGCTCCGGAGGTTGGCGGAACATCCGGTGGGAGCTCGAAGATCTGTCAAATATCATCGAGGTCAAAGAGAAGATTCGAAAGCTGGACGAGCTTAAGGACCGCGCAACGGCCAGAGATGGTGCTCAGCAGAAGCCTGGGTGGGGGAATCTCTGGGGCGTTATCTGAAATTGAGATTTCGCTCACAGCTGCGTAAGATTGGCTTAAGCGAGCTGCTTACCTCCCGCTTGTATGATGACATTGTACCGTTTATATAATACTATGGTCTCGACTATGAGATGTAATGTAATAATTCCTATATCCTGTCTAAAGAAACTTGCCACGGGTATTTTACGTGGAATGCCCTAATTGAATTGGCTCCAATCTAGTAAAGTGCACGGAATTCAGCTATGACTCATGTTAGCATCCTGCTATGTATATTGATTGATACAATATGTGAGGGACGTACTGTAGACAATCCCCTACGTATAGGGTCCGATAGACACAGCATCGTAGCGCAGCTGGAGGCCGCTTTATATATTCTAGGCCCCACTTGGTGCAGGGTCTGATGGAGCTTGAGGGGTTTCTGCGGACTATATCAAGTAAATTTGAAGGAAGAGGCAGGCCCTGACACAAGAAAACAAGGACAACACCAATACAAAGAAGCGAGGGGAGTCCACGCAAAGGAAGCATGAAAGAAGATGTTCTTACATCAGCAAAGGGCAGCCTAACATTCCCACGGCACCACCAACCTTCTGCCTAGTGAACATGACGGCAGGGCAGGTTCAATCTCTACATCATGATTACCCAACAACACATATCCCTTTCTCAACAACAGTGCAACAGAAGCGAACTCCTAACTCCCCCAAGCACATACACTCAGTCTAATTCCGTTGGAAGCAAAAGTCCCAATGCAGTCAACATCCACCCACAAGTTGGAAACCTTGAATGAGGCCGTTTTCACGGGCGATCTTATCCTTCTTTTCGCTCCGGGGCAAAAGCCAGCCATGCTCCTTGTCGAATTATCTCCTGGCAGCCGGAGCTCGAATCCCAAAGCGTCACGAATCACCGTACGACAAGTGGGGGTGCACTATCTGAAAAAGCCGGGATACTGTAGAGTGTCCGGCCCAGACGTCTATTTTGGCAAGGGGGAAGGCGATGATACATCAGATGACGATGACACTGCGAGTGAAGCAAGCGTCGACGCTTCCGCGCGTCCACTTAGTGCGTATGTGGCTCGATTCCCTGAGGAATGTCAGGTGGAATACCGCGTGAACCCCCATGGACGGTACGTATGCTTATCTGCTCCCTTCTGTGTGAGCTTGGAAGAGCGCTAGTATGCTAAGCATTTTTGCATAGCGATGTTCTAATGAACTACTGGGGTGGTGAGTGCCCGTTTTGTGATAGCCTCCATTATTATTGTCCCGGCTGTGGCCCTGCCCGCCTGTTTCCAGACCTTTGGGGTGGGTGTGGTGTGGATCAGGCCTGTCCCGTCTGCCTGGGTTACAATTTTGCCATGGACGACAAAGACGCGTTGAGAGTGATAGAATACTATACAGATAGGCTTCATAGAGGCGATGCTAAATGTGACGGGGGATATGCAGAAATGAAACGCGAGATCCTCGACATGGTACGCGAGCGATATGAGAGCATCAATGCGCAGAGGGAAGAGATGGGTTTCTCTTCCTATGATGTCAATAAGATCGTAGAGGGTTGGTTTGAGGACGACGATGATGACGATGACGACGATGACGAATGAGACTCTGGCTCTGCACAGTTTTGCTCGCCAATTGTCTACTAGGACCCATGAATAGTGCTGTGAATCCCCTATAAAGGCACCCTGAGTGTGCGCCCATCTCTTTGTCAACCTCCAATCAAAGTTGATATCACTCTGGGAGCTTTGTCATTGCGATATACTTAATAACGAGGACACTGGGAGGTTATTTTGCTGCCTTTGCTGTTCTCTACGAGAAATGAAAGATGAGGTATTCTACTCTACTATTATGCCCCAGGCCCCAAGCTCACACTGAAGGTATTGCAATTGAGCATCTATTCAATCATGTTAGTTAGGCCCAGCGTAGGCCGAGAACCGGACCGTAATATCGAGCTGTCGTACCACCAAAGAATGAAGGTATCATAGTTATTTATCAACTCCGGGGGTCTAATCTTGATTAAGCTATTGCGACGGGCATTTCTTCCCAGGAAGAAAAATTTCAGGACCTGCTGACATTCGTGAACAAGGGCGGTTTGCCGCACCGCTTCAGCCAGATGTCCATAACCACCGCCAAGAAAGCCATCCATAAGCCCTTATGAGAAATTGTTGGGCACGGCACACGAATCCACCAGTCACATGTGTGCCTGGCGATCCTCGGGTGATCAATCGGGGATAATAAAAACGCGCGGCTGCATTTATTGCTTTTTAGCGTGGATATCTTGCATATTGGATCTCCTGCCCGCGCGAGGATCTGCCAATCGGTGGATCGCAACGGTGCCCGCAGCTGCAGCACCACGAACACGTCGATATGCAAGCCCGTTATACAGCACAAGCTGGTAGCTTTCATTGTGCTTATATGCATCAGGACCATGATGACGAGGCCTCGTGATACCACTCTCCTTGACCGCCGTGATTGGGAGCTTGTATTTCTACGCGGACCTTTGCCTCGAGTATGGTAGGGTGTGAACCTTGCTCTTACCAATGGCATTAAGTGTGTCCTTCGTAGCCCTTGGGCTTATAGCTCTGGTTGGGCAGAGTGCTGCTCGTGAAGACTGCAAATGTGTGAGTTGGCTCCCGTTTCCCCTGTCATCGAGCTTTGCTAACTTGTGATTCTTCACAGGCCCCGAATGAAGAATGCTGGCCCACGCTGACCGATTGGGCCGAATTGAACGACGCTGTCTCGGGCAAGCTGATCCGAAACACACCCGTTGCCGAGCCCTGCTACTATGGAGATGAGGACGACCAGAAACTGTGTGATACTATCGTCGACCAATGGTCGAATTCGACCTTCCAATCCCTTCAGCCGACAGGATATTGTTATCCACTTGACTACGCCTGTCCTGTTGTGTCGACACCGACAGGCACACCACAGACTGAATGTGACCTCGGTCCAGCGCCTGTGTATACCATCAATGCCACCGAGCCGGAAGATGTGGCGGAAGGGATCCAATTTGCCAAGACCCATAACCTGAGACTTGTGATAAGGAATACCGGTCACGACCTGCTTGGAAGGTATGCCCAACCTCCTGTGGTGAAACTACCCAGAGAGCATTGCTGCTAACACTAGAGTACACACAGATCCCAAGGATACAACAGCTTACAGATATGGCTGAAGTATATTCAACAGGGTCTTGAATACCACGAGGAATACCAGCCTCCCAGCCAGTGCCAACACACTAGCTGGACTGGAAGCGCCTTCACTGTGCGAGGAGGCTATCTCTGGGGTGACCTCTACGCTGCCGCCTTTGAGCGAGACTTGATAGTTATCGGTGGTCAGGATCCAGTAAGTCAACTCATCATTCATTGAAGGACCTCGCAGCTAACCTACTATTGTAAGACGGTCGGCGTGCTGGGCGGCTATCTACAAGGTGGAGGGCATTCTCCCGCCAGTCGCGACTTCGGCCTTGCTGTCGACCAAGTCCTAGAACTGAAGGTCGTCCTGGCCTCTGGAGAGCTCGTAACTGCCAATGCCTGTGAGAACAGAGATCTCTTCTTCGCTCTGCGTGGGGGTGGGGGTGGAACATACGGAGTAGTAGTATCAGCCACGCTGAAGGCGCATCCATCCCGTCCAGCCATTACACATACTCTCGTTATCTACCCATTACCCAGTCGCAAAGACCCATTAGCTACCACTATGGTGCTTATTGACGTGGTTGCGGAAATCCTTTCCGCATATCCCGCCTTATCTGACGGCGGCTTTTCAGGGTACGGCGGATGGGGGATTGACAAAATAGATTCCCCAATTGCGACAGCCCCGACACCAGTCATGGAGAACGGTGGCTATTCTCACGTCTTCGCGAAGCTGGATGACAGCGACGACGCCTTGGAAGAAGCGCAACGATTTGTCCATGCAACGCTTATGCAACGGCTACGGAAATACAATGGTTCTGGGATCATGATCCAGGAAATTTGGGAGCGTTATCCATCGTTCGGGGACTATTATACTGCCGCGACAAGGGCGGAGCAACAGGTTGGATTTAGCAAGATGGCACTCACGTCACGTCTTCTCGACAAGGCGTCTCTCACGGGTGACACAGCACAGCTTAAAGAGATGCTCCGTGTCACGTCCACAAACTCCCCTGATGTTCCTCAAAAGGCAACCATATGGACCATGCTTTTTCTCGTCGGTGGAGGAAAGGTCCTTGATAGCTCCACTAATCCTTCCACAGATCGCTACGTGGGTGTCCATCCCGCCTGGCGCAAAGCTTATCTTCTTGCTATCCCGACGTCGATCTTGCCGGAAGATGCAGACGACACATCCTTGAAAAGAATGCAGCATGATACCACTTACCGAAAGACCGATGCATTGAGGGCCTTGGCCCCGAATATGGGCAGCTACATGAATGATGGCGACCGATACAATCGTTGGTGGCAAACTGACTTTTTCGGTGACAATTATCCTCGGCTTCGGGCCATTAAGGATGAATACGACCCAGACCATGTGTTTTACTGCCCTACCTGCGTGGGGAGCGAGGAATGGAGGGAGGTTCCGCTGGAGGATAAGGTGTATGGGGCTTTGTGTCGGGTTTGAAGATGGTAAAGCCATCCAGTTGTACGTTGTACCCGCTATGAACCGCTGGAGAACCGAGCAGTACGACATGTATACCTTACGCGGGCTAGTTATATCTAACAAACAGAGTATATACGTGTAATTGCTTTCGAAATTTGACACATCCTCAATGCTGAAGTGTAGTTTTGATTTGAGATGGTTAAACAAAACACCGGTTGCTCGAATTGCAGCGATTGACGCAAATAGGCAGAAGAAGGATCGACAAAGTTGCCACTCAACATCTAGCGAGGCCTTCGGAATGCAATATTATGATCCACTCTATTGTGGGTCAGACTTTGGGTAGGAGGAGACTTGGATCTTGTTTGGGCATCTGTACAGCTCGATCTATGTTGCAGGGCATGATGAACATGCACCCCTTGCATCAATAGCAGGCGGTCTGTAAACTTTCCAAAAGGTGGTTATGGTCACAGATGTAAGGTTAGGAAATAATCTTCTCTATATAGATAGCCACCTCGATATGAATTCTGAACGGCTAATTGCCACCTACAAACTTTCTGGGGCCAGTCTGCGTGGTTGAACTCATCCCAGTTTATCGATGCATGTACAGTATGCAAACGAGCAGCCCTTGACAACCCGTACTGAAGTCTATTAGGTGTGACAATATAATTACCAACCTGCACCCTTTGGCCTTACTTCCTTTCCCCTTTTCTGCCATGTTGTTGCCTGTGTTGAGTAATGCTCGTGTTTATGAAAAGGAGGACAGTGATGTTGACTCGAAGGTGCGGACATAGGATATGAACAAATATCATTCGTACCAGCGAATGCTCTTATTGAGTGTCTGGAGGGGCGATCCTCATACGACAGCGTGTATACATAGTTTTATTATACAGGTACCTTCTGTATCCTGCCCAGCTCTACGTCAGGCCCTTCATCTGTAAACGTGGAGGAAACTTTGGAATGGGCCGGCTCGGTCAACTTGACAGTGCTGGACGAGGCTCTCCTCGACCGTTCGGCGGAGATGGACTTTCGGGATATACTTCTGCTGAAAACCGACTTAATCCCTTTTGCGGTGGCCACAAAATTGACATAAGACTTGTACTGGTTGAAAAAGACCCGGGCAGCTGGTAAACTCGAACATGTAATTGCGATAAGCAATTCCATCATGGCCAGCATCCAACAATACCAACTAGTCCAGGACGCATCATAGGAGAAATAATACAATCGAACAATGAAGTAGAGTCTTATTCCTGCAATAACGGGGGTCAAGTATCCCACGACGAATATGGAACCCAGGGCAATCTTCTCGCGGAACGAGATCCGCAGGTTCCAGCACAAGATCGCCGGAAGCGTAGTCACAACTGCATCTTGGATGAGCGCGACAACTGTCGCGACGATGATATGTGCCGCTTCATTGTAGCACTCCCATGTATGTGATTCCCTCCATAACGGATCAATCTGGTTCCAGTAGGCGTGGAGTGGCTGGCATGACCCGAAGATAACCGCGAGAAACGCAACACTGTATCCGACGACGGAATATATGCTGATCCACGTAGCGAGCATGAAACCTCGCGATATCGATCGGAAGCCCATTCGACGGTAGAAGAGGAGAACAGAGGTTCGCACTAGTCCAGAGCCGATCACATAGAGCATCTCCATTGCCAGTGCCAGCTGGCGTTGGGCGAGAAGCTTGGGAAGTGTATTGTCCCATGTGTGGAGGTTTGCGCCATAGACCTCCGAGCCTATTATCGTCAGTTTATGCTGCTTCTGCGACGGCTGGTGGAGAGCGTACTCAGGACAAATGCGACTGCTAATCCGAGAACGGGGACCTAAACAGTTAGCTATTTGACGATGATCGTGTGCACAGTTAATGCAAATACCACAGCCAATCCAGCATAGAGGTCATCCCAACCGCCTCGACGCTGGATAACGCACCTCGCCCAAAGTCGAACTCCAACCGTCACCAACGCAATGCCGCCAAAAACGGATGCGAGGACAATACTTGATGGTCCATGCGACTCCGGGTCGATCACATTTGGCTTCGGCCAAGATAGCATTACTTCAGGTGGCGGCCGTATACCCCCAGGCATTGTGGTCAATGCCAGTAAAATTCTTCAGGCCCGCCACAGGCAGTGGAGCAGGATTGAAGAAATAAAGGGACAGAACAGGCGTGAACAAGGGTGGGGTGTTGGAGGGTGTGACATGTCTACATAGTGTGGCCGGCATTTACAGACCGTTGTTACAGTTAAATATGTGCTGTACTTTTGTCAATCCTATCTGTTTTGTACAGTCAGCGACGTCATGACCCCCAACTATATTCAGTAAACATATCAACCCTAACTCGGTGGAGGAAGACCCACTTTTGAGAGACATCGGAATAACGCTGGAGGCTGCAAGCCTTCCTTCACCCGACAGGCGACATTCACAATGGCCGATTGATAGGAGATGGCTCGTTCTATAATCTCTCATTTCAAATGGGGACAGAATGATCAACACGAGAACCTTTTCCTCGTGCCTCCTCTGTGTCTGAGACTGGTTTTGAAACGCCCGGCGATCGACCGGCTAGTCAAATGAAGCGAAGATCGCTATCATATGATGGCGTAAGCTAAGAGAACTAGTCTATAATCCTCCTCCCTATAGCGCACGTTCTAGACTTGCGTCAGAATGTATGGCCGAGTCGGGATCCCGTCGGGAAGGCGCATTTGGTTAGTTAACTTGATAATTCAGCTTCTCACCCGCAAAGGATACCCAGGGAGGAAAATGATACGACACGATTCGAAGATCCTTGTCAAGCAAAAGCCTTGGACTATACTCCAGAGTACCTCCGGAGTGATTGAGCTTGGACAATCCGTTCGTTGGGGTTGAAAATGATCTGCTCATGGCGCCGAAGCTTAACAGATCCGTAACCCTGATTGGCATTGATGCTCGGGAACTTTCCCAGTGGGTCGAATCGTCACCAGCATGATAGGATAAACCGCCAGCGCAATTCCACCTGACACAAATTTCGGCTCCTGAAGGATCTCGTAGTTCCAGTATGCCAACTTTTCAGTCTCAGATTAGAGTTATGGAAAGTCACACTGAGTTCCCAGCCAGATGGAAACGGCAGTGTAGACGAGCACAGGCCAGAGTAAAACACAGTTTGATCGCCCACGACCTTTACACGCTGATTCTTGTGTTTCAAAGGACCTGCCCTTGGCCCTGTTCTATACTGCACTTAAGCTTTGTTAGACTTCCGATTGCCATGGCTCGTGGACCAGGGAGTATGGCGATGAGAGTGCTAAGGCTGCAATATGTCCTTCCCTTGGAACCCTAACCTCTACCCTGACTGGCTAGTACATATTGGATAAAATGCCTGATCATGAATCTTTGCCTTTCTCCTGTCTTTATTTTTTATTTCTTCCTTTGCTCTTCGTTCTTTACGGGTACTTCTATTTTATTTTCTTTTGCCAAGTCCATTCTGGGGTAGCGATGATGGTACACAAAACTCCTGGCTATGAGGACTGATTCTAGCTTCAATAACCGCAATATGAGAAGCCTCGATAGCATTGTACATTTACTACTAAATATGTTCACGCATCGAATCATAATGTTATTATCAATGTCAACGCTACTTGACCGTTGATCATGTGAAACGCAATTTGAGTTGCTCCCATTCGCCCCCTAATATTCCTTCAATCATTTTGGCTTGCTCCCTAGCTTCAGGGGCAATGGATCTTTAAGCTTCATTTCCGACTCATATCAATTTATACAGTTCATTTGTCCTTTACCTACAGTGGTTAATTTAGTTTCAGATTAAATTACAAAAGTCAGACACGGATGGGGTCCGGATCAGGATTCCACTAAAAATATATAGACAAGTACTCCTGAATTAAAATGGGGATCGGAAAGTCGCCGAAAGCTTTGCGAAAGCTTTGGCGAAACTTTATTAACAAGGATCTGAGGACTAATAGCCGAATATAGTAAACTGTTCATGATAATCCTCTGGTCCATGTGGGTATAGTGGTACGAATCTGGTGTCCTGCAGACTGACCCGCTATACTTTGCAATATTAATCTGTCGGTCTTTCTTGACCTAAAAAGGTGAGAGGAAGGCTATGATTTTGTCTGGGTTATTGTTTGTCTTGGATATCCAGTGTCAAACATTCATAGTCTGTGAGCGAATGGTCCCTTGGAAACAGTAGAAATTATGGCTTTTGTGCCAGCATTCCCTGACATTGTTCATGATCTGGCAGCGTTGAAAAATTAACAGAAAATACCGGCCGGACTTTTATCGCTTGCGTGAATATCCTGCTGATATATCGTAGATGTAACAACAATAACTGACAGGGTAATACATTCAGGACTATGGACCAACACAGCACTCTTCGACGTTGCCGTGATGACTGCCATACAGCTGTTCAAATTTCAGATACCGATAGGTTTGCCTCTCCGTGCACCAGAGCTCGTCGAAAACGCGACAGGAGTTAAATGCGGTAGTCGATATGTCAGATAAATACGTGATTTAAATGCAACCTGCTATTTAAACCTGGAATTTGCCGGATTCATTAATGCAATCCAACCAGACACCATGGCAAATCCTTACAAAAAACTCAGGCTTGCCATCGAGGCCGGAGACTGCCCCAAAACTAAGAAACATCTAGACAACGGCATCCCAGCTACCATTGAGCACTTTGTTATTGCGACACCAAACAGGGATTACGCGATTCTTGAGTTGTTTGTGTCTCATTGCTGGGATATCAACACAGATGTGAATGATTTCATCCCATCAGCATTAGTGTAAGTCCCACAGCAGTCCTGTTATCGTTTAACTCGGCTGATAGCCTTACTAACTATACATTTGAAGATAAGAAGCTCCTTGAATGGTTTCTGAATCACAGCGCGGATCCCAACAAGACATGCCGTATTCGTGATTGTACACCGCTCTCTTACGCTGTTAGAGACGCACCTCATGAGATTATTCAATTATCACTTAGTAAAGGAGGTCAAATTCATCATGGGTAGCTTTACATTACGCTGCCATGCGAAATGACAGCTTTGCAGTTCTACAATTTGTCTACAATCAAGAGCTAAGATATAACAAGTTGCAAATCAAGAAGGTATTAGACGCCGACTCGCTAAATTACTTGATGAATGAACGAAGTGGTCTGGGAACTCCCTTGCACTACGTGGTCAGGTGCGGCTCGGTGGAGACGGTAGAGTTTCTGTTGGATAAGGGCTCAGTCCCAGTTGTCGTGACTTTTATCACCGCACTGCAGTGACCACTTGGAGCATTTTTTATGCTTAAGGATTTATCTGATAGGGCTAGAAGCTTTTAGGGATTTTATAATGTTTGCGTGGGTTCTGTATCTATGATGTCGTGAATGAATACCTCCTGCCCTTAGTTTTCTGCCAGTTTGTCTTACTGAGTCTTCGTAATTGTAACTTGTGATTCTTGTATACTTTGTGACTACGCGTTGTGTTACAGTGTAGATTAGTAGACAATAAATGATAACAGTGTCTTTGCCCCAAACTAGTGGTAGAATTGAACTTCAGGAGCTCTCCCTGATTTGATTCACAAGATCAGATAGCAAGTTAGTATGGTCGGTCAGTATTTGACTTCTCTGGGGTCCTGAACGTGTGAAATATTTTCAATAATATTTTCCTAAGTCTGCCGAGTTTGCCAAATCTTCAGAGCATTGAATTGGGTAGGGTAGATGAGTGAATTTGTGTACAAAAATGGGCTTTTGCGAGATCTGAAAGGACATAAATCTCTATATTGCGATCAATACGGTCCAAGGCCTCGAACCTGGATAGGCAGACTAGGATTACAGGCGCTATATTTAACTTGGTATCGGATGCCGCAGGAAAGGTATACGCATCGTTAGTATCAATGGTAAGTCAATGAAACATCGTCAATTGGTGACTTTCATATCTGCGTTGTCTGTCTGACTAGCTTCATATGTGCAAGTACTAGTAAATCCCAGCTGTGTCAACAAAGTTCTCCCACAACTCATCCGCCCACCGTTTCCTTTCTGTACCAAGTTCCACCAGCCGTACAATAGCCAGGTTCACAGAAACGTCGTCCAATGCTTTCCTAGAGCCCCTAAGGGGCTCTGTAGTTGATGGTGACGTGGCAAGAGTCGCAGTCGTTGTTGGTGCCGTAGCTTCCCTTGTGGTGGCCGCAGGAGTCCAGGATCGATTGTGCGGTGTTACGAATGGTCTTGCCGTCGAGCTTGTGTTCTCCGGCACCGTTGGTGGCATAGACCATGTAGCAGTTTCCAACCGAGAATTCAGACCCATCACCGTAGTCTTTACCCTCGTCTATCCTTCGGATCGCCTCCTGGCAATCGGTGATGCTGGGAGAGTTGCTCGAGCCCTTGCAGCTTTATAGGTAATTCTCGTTAGCAAGTTCGACGAGAAAGTCTATAAGGGGAAGCTTACTTGTTGGCATAGCCAAGGCTGCCAGTCACAAAGAGTGCGACGTTGATGAGGGTGGTTAATTGCATTGTGATGGATTTGAGAGCGTTGTGGTTTGTGGTGTGTTGATTGCTATGAAATTCAGAACCGGGGAATTGCCATCCTTTTATAATACAGATGGGAGCCCATGGTCCTCATTTTAGAGGGAGGCTTACGTTGCGCATCTGGTGTAAGTGACTCCAACCTGACCGTGGAGGCCTTCAAGTGCTCCCGCGCATAGAAGCTTATTGTCCTCGTTGGGGATGATTTGATGTAAGGGCGACATTGATGCAGGCGACTATCCACATCACAGCCACATCACGGAGGTGAATTGATTCCGATGCAGTTCCCTTCCTATACAGGCAGGAGATGTCTCGTCGGATATCGGATGATTCTCCCATTTACTTCGCCCTAGTCGATATCCATGACATCCATGACTCTAGCCTCGTTGGAGAAGTCTTCCTTTTCACATCTTAAGTTAGTGACCCTTTCTTGTTATCTCAAGCTACAGCAGAACCGGCCATCCCTACTATCAATTACGTATAATTAGTTATATCTAGGAACTTACTAAGTATTCATTTAGCCATGCCGTCGCCAGTTAACCATCCCTTGCTGCAGGGTCCCGCATCGACCTGAAGTATATCGGATCACGGCGGACATGAGGCTGTACCATTGCCCAACATGGAAGGATTTTCAGTAGCATTGGAACAGAAATGGGGCCCCAAACCCCGATGACCCACAGTGAACACGCGGAAAGCCCATGTTTGCGATCGATCTCAAACCTTGCTCGAACGACGTTGAGTCAGGACGAGCATCGTTCGGTTGATGTATAGCCGAGACATGACACAGCTTGGGGTCCAAGACATCTTGGCCAATCAGGCTGTCTAAAAAGCTTTGTTGTTGTTGGTCCTGCAGATCTCTATGGGGGCGAGATCCGGATGGTGTTCCAGAGATACCCTAAGATCATCTCACCTCCATCATCTGCAAGCACAAGAGGAGTTATGCACACTAATACCGTTTTGACCGAGCTTTCGTCTTCTCCTACTCCATACTAGATTCATTAATACGAAGTGATACCCACATTCCCCATCGTGATGTGACTGATCAGCTCATCACATCGGCGGTCTAACTGAATTCATTACATAAAGATCAACGGGCCCACTGGACAACCTTCGCCCCAAAACCAGCACATAGCTCAGGAGCTCTACGTCATAAAGCATATACTACCCCAGCTGCCTGAGCTATGTGGGACTTATGTAAGGGCTCGGTTTATTGCCCTGCCTTGCGAGAAACCTCCAGCGTGTCTTCGCATCCCCGGTTCGACCAACCTCGACTTGAAACGCGACTCTCCGTTAGCTCCCTGGGGCAACCCATCTTTATGAGCCTGGTGTTAGATCCAGGAATGATTCTGGCTTTAACGGCTGCTACGACAGTTGTACTTTTTCCCAGGATACTCTTGTTAATTGGGTATCGTCGCCGAAGCTACTATGGGCCGCTGACCCCAACTTTGCCTTGGTCCTCTTGGTACTGTCGGTGTTATTCTGTCACGACGCACTGATTACTACGTTTTTATCTTCCACTGGGCCCATGTGGGCCTTGTGGCTTTCATATGCATCTTATTTCCCTCATGGACACGACTCTTACCTCTAGACTCGTCGCTGTACGATAAGGCCTTGAAGCCAGACCGACCAGGCCGAGGGAATCCCCGCAACAAGACGGTCTTTATTCCTGCGAGGTAATCAATTCACTCCGAAAGTACAACACTTCTCCTCAGTATATATGAAATTGACAGTGGTGAGGTGGAAAAGGACGTGCTACGAGAACCTGGGAAATGCGTTGCATGTAGCAAGGCAAATGTATAAAAGGGGCGACAGAGCCTGATTACTCATTTCCAAGGAATAACTGGAAGAAACAGAAAATAAGAGAAAGAAAAAGAAGGAAAACTGATTGTTGGCTCGCTGACTTAGTCTACGTATCTGCGAGGACTGTCCTTGCTGTGAATATATCTTTGAGGTTATACTGATGGTGAACATATCTATCGGCATCACTGCCAGTATAGGAATAGATACTCTGGTTTGGTTTGCAAGCTTGAACTAACACAACCGGCAAAACTTTGAAACACCCATAGTATTGTCGTGCGAGTCACTGCGGGGCTTTTGTTAACAAGCCGTTTTCTGTGTTCCCACACCGCGTCGTACCCTGCAGGGCGTTACCATATTGTAACGATGGCCAGCAGTTGGCTTGCTGAGTAGAGGTCAATGTATCGAATAACAAACGAGTAAGATTTTCTTCCGTCTCAAACAAGACAGGTGTTGTCTCCTGCTGACAGCGCTGGCCCGCTTCCGATTGCATCCTTACTATTGCTATCGCAGATACAAGGTTAGAGTTCATCATGCCCTGGAAGTGCGGCCATGACTGCAAGGCTTCGATGGCTTGAAGACGGACTCGGTGGTCTGGACATCTATTTGATACACAGTACAGGCCGGAGATGATGCCAATATCCAGGAATATTGACGGCCGCTCGGGTGACTTCTGGATAAACGCTTTGTGGGCGGCAAGGAGGGTCACAAACTCAGGGGTCAGATACTCCGGAACTGGTCCATGCGTCAGACAAATCTTGACAGTCAGGGTTTGGGAGAGATATTGCAGTCGAAGGAGATCCGCTCCTCGTTGTTCTTTTGGGCTGAGTGTGGGGTATTCATTTTGGTACAACGTTTCAAACTTTTCGGCAAATTCGTCGAATGCTGCCAAGATTACCCGTTGCTTCTGACACAACTGTTCATAGTTGGCTAGGATTTCGGCCTCGGAGAGTGACCAGCATTTTGTCACCCAGGGAACCTCGATGGCCATCACGTGTCTGACAGCTTGTAACGCCTCTTCGAGGTTCTTGAACTTTGCTGGTATGCAGTTCCATATCCCCTGTTCCTCGAGATGCGTGTTGCTGGTCATGTACGGCCCTATCCCATAATGCGTGCCCATAATATCCAATCTTCTAAAAGCCTCCACTAGATCCTGCTCCTTACTGCTACGCTCCACCTGTTGCTCCTCGTTCAGGATGCGAATGCCGCCACGCAGATGTTGGAAGGCAATGGTATAATGCCCCAACAAGAATTCCGACAAGGTAAAAAGCAGGCAACACATTAAAGTAAGCTCCCGTACTTGAGGGTCCTGGGACCGGCCGCGCTTACGCAAAAGTGCCAAAGATCGGGTCGACTGTTCCAGAGCAAACAGATGTCGAGGGTCATTCAGACGTGTACCGGTCAGCTGCATTTTGCTGGCCACTGAGTCCTCATGGATGGCAGCTAGCATGTTAACTGCATGATAAACTGCCGGCTCGGCGTCTACCATCTGCAAGACTAGCCGTTGCCATAACTGCCAGTCAAAAAAGGCAACGAAGTTTGCGATAACATGGTGTTGGAAATATGAAAAGTATCGTCTTTCGTCTGTGTTCAGCGCGCGGCATATATGACTTCCAACGCTAGGAAGGGATAGTGTGGACCGCGCATAAGTTAGTCGGTGCATATCGTACCCCTCACAAATGCGACCGGTGGAGCTGCAATTTCTGCAGGTGTCGGGGAATTCATCACATTTGACATGGCGAGATCTGTTTTGACAATTAGACAGGGCCTGACGATTTTAGGGAACCCAGTTCATCTCGGCCTTACCGACAGGTGCGGCAACCTGTTGATGATCTCTTTCGCTTGGTTTGGCGCCGTGTAGTACTGACAACAGTTTGGGTCATGTCTGTCGCCTTCTCCAGCTCTCCCTAAGCTTATTCAATATTCGAAGGGTGCGTAGTTGGACAACTGGAGATTAGATCAAATGGCGTGACCTCCCACAGTTTTGACCCCACAAGGCTGTCAATAAGATTGAGGCTCCGCTCTCGCCCGCGGTGGATCGGCGGAACTAACACGAGGTTCCAGAAATGTAAAATTACTCAGTTACCAATACGAGACAGTACGCATCATACCAGCTAATTTAATCTATTTACTGTGTAAAGAGATGTATGGACGCAGTATACATAAACCCTAAGCTTAGGGGCAGTACCATCTCTGATCCTCTAGATATTCTCATGAGACAGGAGACAGTTTGATGGTTTGTTTAGATATATCTTCTGGTGACCTATTACCTATCTTCAATGTTACACCCCTCAGGAGGTGCTCGTGGGAGGTTGAAGTACGATGTACAACATTCCAAGTTGCAGGTACCAAAACAACCCTCTTAAATGGTCAAAGCCTCCAGGACCGCTGGAAGATGGATGTGTAAGGTGTGGCTGGTAGACGTGGCGCGTTAGCTGAGGCTAGTGAGTGCTGTGGCTTGAGATGAATCGGCAATACGGCTGTGTATAATGCGTACTCGTACGGTCATATCCGGTACGGCCAGGCACGAGCGTCGGTACGTTTAGTGCACAGTACGTCATACCTCAACTCATACCCTTATACTGGATACCTTTTTCCCTAAACTCATAGACACTACATGGTACATAATACGCGTTTCTAATACTCCCGCAAAACCACAGAACAATTCTTCTAGGCGGGGCGCCTAATACTCAGCATCATTGTCCCTTGTCTATACTTCTACACCCCATTGTCTATCTATCTATCCACCACACTGTTTTCACATATAATATATAGTATAGACCATACCATGTTATCCGCCGAGGCCATCATCGCCCTGGTGACCCTATTGGTAACCTGCCCGCCGTCCATCCTCGTGGTTTGGAAATGTTTCCGTGGTCCACAATTCACCTTCACCGGTTAGTAACATACCTTATTTTAGTTTTAATATTTTTTTTTTGAAACAGGTTTCTGACTCCTCATGTTTCCGTTCCATAGATATTGAACTTGGAGTCCGACCGACGCTTCCTACGTTATCTCCTCATTATCAGTACAATACTATAATACTGCAATTCCCATCTACAACTCCAATGGTCTCTAGTCGACATATTTACCATTATTCTTCGGCACTTGGATAAAACACCCTTCTTCAATTTGTACTAGCATTCTCTGGTCACAACTTTGCTTTCAAGATTCAAAATCCAGTGGGCTTATGTGTAATAGAGTTTCGTTGAGCACTTTCTTCAACTTTTCTATTTGCCTGCTTAATATGTTAGTTAGTCTATAGAAATGGATCAACTAGCCCACCTTCCGAAGATATTTAATCTATAGTAAGTAACAATTTAGGGTTAAAGGTTCAATGCCAATTGACAATTTATTTCCGAATACTTCTTTCCATTTGGTCTTATGGCATATTTTAATATCACGACTTTGCTCAGTGAACATATCAACACATGCTCCCCTCCCTATCTAACGTTGGGTCTGGAAATTTAACGTCTGGTATGAGGTGTCTTTAGACGATGCCCGCTATACCTACCTACGCCAATATCACTCTCTTCGATGGCATGTAGTAACCACCATTGATCGATATCATTCGACCTTGTTCTTCACGTAGTTAGCATCCAGTCAATTGGTCATGTATCCTGCCTTTGTTCCATTCGTAGTGGAACCTTACACCGGATACTACGTATATGTAAGTCAGCAAGATGAACAGAGCATTAGCAGAGATGTCAAGCTTCGTGTCTCTATATGTATGACTTGTCAAGATTAACGTTCGGAATTATAGAGATTCCACATGAGCAGTCTCCTAACCGTTACTCCAAGAAGTCCACCAATGCTACCCAACCTAACTAGGAAATTCCGTCCTCTATAACATATATCGAAACATCGGCGACCGATCCCCCATCTTCTCCATCTCAGCCTTGTCCTGCCCTGATACATCCATCTGATCTCGTTTCCGGTTAATCGTTTTATATGATAGACGAAGCATAACCGCGGCGATCATGCCAGCGACACAAAAGCCCAGTTCCAGGGAATGTCCGAGTATATAGTTCGGTGCGTCTTGCGCGCGGTAGAAATTTGATGCCATCGCTAGATGAGTCAGCGTCACGTTTACATGGAATGAGAATAATATTGGCAAAGAAAAGATGGCTTACCACCAGCCAAATTACCCAGGCCAATCTGAATGGCCATTCCAGAGGCGCGCTTGTAGTCGCCGGCGAGGTTGGCACTGAGCCAGGTGATGTTTCCTGGAAAAGCGGGATAGATACCTGTCTCTGTCAGACTCCTACGTTCAAAGCATGAAAACAAAGCAATGTACATACCCACAACTGAGACGAATACACCGAAGTACACCACGCCAGGGACACCTCTTCCGGTTGAGGCAAGCACGATAATGAATCCGGCAGCGATGAGACACATGAAGAAGAGAACAAATGGCGATCGTTGCTTTCGGCGATCCGATAGCCAAGCAGCGATGACGGCGACTACAGCCGCCGTGATGTAGATTGGGACTGTGAGCAATTGGGCTGTCGACGATGTATATCCGAGATCCTTGATGATGGAGGGGAGGAAAAGCGAGATACCGTAGAGAGGACAGGTAATACCCCAGTACACTACTTGATCAGCATCCATAGAGCAATTGGGGGAAGAAGACGTACCAATTATGGACACGTAAATCTGCCAGTCGAGGAGGGCGTCAACTACATATTTCATACGAAATTCGGTAGCTTCCGACGTTCCTCCTGTGTTGTGAGTACGCAGCATGTGAAGCACGAATGTTCGTTCTTCCTCTGTAAGGAATTTGGCGGTTTCGGGAGAGTCATGGATGGCAAACGGAGCGATGCATGCTACTAATACAGTGAGCAGGCCTTCCAAAATGAAAATCCAGCGCCAGCCGGCGTAGCCCCCAACTCCGTCCATTTTCTATAAGATATGTTACTAGAACTCTATCATTGAGATTAGAACAGTACCTACTGCAATTCCGTACGCTAGAAGTCCTGAGAATGCACCGGCAATACTGGCAGCACTAAAAAACAAGGCCTGTCGGTACTGAGCCCGGTGTCGAGGGTACCACAGGGTGATGTAGTATGCAACTCCGGGATAAAGACCAGCCTCTAGTAAATTGGCATCGTCAGTGCAAGCGGAAACATGAGCTGTAGCATCACATGGCTCTGTGACTCACCGGCAACACCCAAGAAAATACGCGTGGACAATAGTCCTGCGTAATTGTGAACAACACCCATCAATGTCTAGTACAGAGCCTGTCAGCCATTTTACCTTGGCTACGACCAATGTCGATGATGGCATACCATAACAATACCCCACGCGACCATGAGTAACGGTAACCACCTTGACGGCCTCATTTTCTTCAGCAACAGGTTACTGGGCAGCTCAAATGCACAGTAGGTGAAAAAGAACACCGTCACTGTAGAGACCGATAGTTAGCTCCTCATGCTTCATTAGATGGGCAGGGAGGAAGTGCATACAACACCAATTGTACTGCGGCCCCGTTATATTCAAATCGTCCAGCAATCCCTCGATTTTCGCGTTGCCAATATTCCCCCGATCCAGGAAGGCGAGCAGGTATAGCACGGCCAGCATTGGAATGATACGAAGGTCCATCTTGCGGAGGATTCGATTCTCCATCTCGACACTATACGCGGGCAGTGCCTCATCATGTAGCCGCTTTTCGTCCACGGCTTCCAGGGAGCTTTCGGCTACATGTTCCAGGGCGGAGCTCGACGGTTTCTCCTGGTCTGACGAAGGTTGACTATGCATATTGAAAGGAGAGGTAAGGAGATCTGTCGGACAGCAGGAACTCAAATTAGCGGAGCAATCGTGCGGGAACACAAAGGGTCCCAACCTGCTTATAAACACAAAATGCGTAACTAACTATCTCTCAAGCTAGCCCGCGTCCCCAACCTTGCCCTCGGAACGTGGGGTCACCCCTCGTGAGCCAAGCTTTATGTGGTATCGCTCAGCTGTGGCGCTTGTGCCAAGTTCAGCGAGGGAGGTTGTCCCTTGCCTGGTGAGGTATGCCATATTGAGCGAAGCACTGCGGAATAGGATGCGAATCGAAAGGACAGCGACTGGCATCTCACATATTACGAGTTTATCACGATCATGTCAATTCAAATTAACTGCAAGGGAACCAAACGCGGGTTGTTGAGGAAGGGCAATACCCCAACTACCCCGGATTCCCAAGTGGGCTTTCGGCCAGATTCAAGCAAGATCGCCGGGATAAGGTAGCATTGACCAATCTCAGGGGGCCAGAGCGTGCGGGGTTGCCATGGCTAGTCTCGCCTTGTTTGCGGCCTGAAATTCGGCCTTTCTTGCGAACACGTCTCTCTCACGTGCCTTTTTGTCTCTCTGGCGCGGCAATTGACGGATAATTCCGCATATCGGCGAGGCTATCTCTCGACCTGAAGATATACTGTGATGCTTCGGCGCGATCACCGATAAGTCTGGTCCGGGCGGGAGGCTATCTTGGCACATACTTATGTTGATACTTTGTTCTATATACTTGTTAATCTAATTCAAGGAAAATGAAAACGTTCTGTAAGTACTTACTCCCTGTCTTCCTCGACGATACTTGTATATTTGGGTTGCTTTTCTGTAGGACAACGTTGGTTGTACCATGACATCATGTGTCTGTTCCCTTGGAGATATATATTGAGTTGACCTACGGCCTCGAACAATCCGAGATGAAAATTATATTGCTGGAATAGTCATCGGTCTACTCTCAGTACGACTTCATACTTTCCTAGTGAAGTCTACCGGTCTTTGTGAAGACCTCATCATACAGAACTCAACAGTCTGGAGAGAGCAGTGGTCGTAAACAAAATGAAAGAGACGAGAGTGAATAGCAGAGGAAGAAAAAAAATAAAGAAAAAAGAGTATATAGAATTTAGAAAAGCAATAAAACAGAATGAGGAGATGGAACGGGAGGAAAGAAAGATCAATATTCTATATTCGAGGATCATGTAGTACGGTTTTGGAATATGGAATGGTATCTGCGGTTGTACACTTAGCGGGTTCACGCTACCACGGACAAGTGCAAAATACGGAGAATCTACCCTCGGCCAGTCACGCAAATTCAATTAACAGCTTTCCTGGATCGATAATACCTATGATCTGGATCAAGAAAAAGTCTCCATGCCACTGACTGGTTTGCAGAAGGATTCACTTTCTCTTTGTATAAAACAGAACCTACAAGATGTGTCCGAGAGGTACGCAAAGCCACTAATGAACATGCACCGAGGATATACTACGTCAGTACAAGGTTCAAGATTAATATCCTTATCACTCACAGAGGATGCTTGAACCGTGTTAGTAGAACCATCCGACAGACGGGATTACAGTTGCCAACCCCTAGTCGCCGATGGCATACCGCCGGGCAGTAACATCTGTGTGAGCGGATATGCTGCATCAACTATTGAGGACCTCTCAGGCGTGATAGTTGACAAGCTTCAGCTTTCAATATTCGAACCAGAGTTTCGAAGCTGCGCATGATGTGTCGACAAAAGTTTCAAGCATAGATATTATGGCTAGACGGGAGGCTGGCTCGCACATGACCGCCATTAGTGTTGACTATCATAGATCGGGAACTCCGCCGCGCGACGATGCTCAACCACGTTCGAGCGGCTAGGACGGGTCTCACATGAGCAATCCAATATCTTGGAGGATGGTTGAGCTGCTGGGAGGAAAAGCTTTATCTGTAGTTCAGTATGAGAGGTATTAGTAGTCGTGTAGTATTCTGGAAGGCTGGTGCGACCCGGGGGACACAATCCAAGATGATATTCAATGGACAGAAAATCTCTGCGTCGCCTTTAGTAATTTCGATTGATGATCGCCCTTGTCCACCGTCCTGGCGACCGCCTAGGTGGCGCATTCAGGTGGCGGATCGACGGCTCCTTTCCACGTCGTCATGCTATTTAGGAATTTAGCGGAATAAGCGCACAAATAGGACCTGTAGTGGCGTCAGTGAAAAAGAGGGATTGATCGAGTGGTGCCAATGACAGTGCAACTCTGTGTAGTAGTGTCCGATGTCTTCTTTGCAACCAACGAAGATACGAATCCGGCAAAGCCGATAGGAATCCCATTGAATCGCAGTATTATCATGGCTTCTCGGAAATGGGTAAGAACATTGTACAGCAAAGGGGCTTTATCCCGTCTAGGGCATTGGCATACGTTTGTTGCCCAGGAGGCATGCGGCTGACCCAGGCAACACAGTTTTTCATTCTAGAAACATGTTGTGGCACCAGATCGGGTCTCTGCAAGGCTGAAGGAGCAGGAACTCGGTCATCGAGTATCACTAGAAAGCGTAGAGGATGTGCCACACGACGCAGCCAAGGCATCCCAAGGTTCTTGTGGTGACACCGTGAAAGAGCACGGCAGGGGAGCGGCAGGGCAAAAGGTCACATCAATCCTGTCGAGTCCATATGCCACGATCATCTTGTGGCTCAGTCTGGCGAATAAACTGCCCAGCTTAGCGATCCCACCAACAACACGACTGCGAGTCTGGTGGCAAATCTAAACCTGAGGGCACCAGTCGTCGGGCGCAGCGAAGACGGAGCGGACAGGCTAGAAGCAATTCAGATGCAGGGCCAAAGGGTGGAAGCGACGATGGGGGCGGACAAATGAAGTGGATCCAATTGATGCGCCTGTTATAATGATATACATGATAGGTGGAACTGATAGTCGGTGGCTCGACCCTTTATTACTCAATGGGTTCTGGAGGAACTGGTTCATGAAACAGGGGCACGTGCCGTAGTTGGGAATCGAGCGAGCAGCAGGGAAAGCCCAGGACACGTGGGGGAGGTCAATTGTATGACCCTGGACATGGAATCCAGTCTTCTATCTACTAGGATAATGGTAAGGTT